TGGGTGTGTGGGGGTGGGCTGGGGGTGGGGGTGGGCTGGGTGGGCTGGGGGTGTGGGGGTGGGCTGGGGGTGGGGGTGTGGGCTGGGTGGGGCTAGGCCGACAAGGACTTCCACAGCGGCCTCTCTGCGCACGGGGAGGAGGCCCAGGGCTCCGTCCCCCTGGGGGTGGGTCAGCCAAGCATCTGGCTCGGTGGGGGAGGCAGGGCCCCGGGCGGGGCAGGGAGGCGGCCCCGTACCACGGAGGCCCTCTCGCGGCTCTTCTCCGTCTGCAGGAGGGTGGCACACTGCTGCTCGCACAAGTCCAGGTGGCCCTGCAGCAGGTGGAGGCCCGCCAGCTCCAGCAGCACCTGGGCAGGGCCGCCGGTGAGCGCCGCGGGCACCCGGGCTGGCCGCTCACTGCCTCCTGACCCATTTCCCTTGGTTCTGCCTTCGGCCGGTGTCTCCGGGCCTCCCCTGCTCTCCCCCGGAACTCCCATCCTACCGTGTGCTTTAGTAACTACCCCCTGAAATTCGGGACCCGGGCAACTCCTCCTTCGGCTTTGGCTCGGACCTAGCCTCCTCCTCCCGGCAGCCCTCTGTGGTAGCCTCTGGGGCAGGTGCCCGTCTTCTGAGCCCCCGCAGCGTGCAGACCCACAGGCAGGCAACGGAACTGGAAGCATGCTCGTCTGCCGCTCGGCCTGAGGCAGCCTATGGACGGGCACCCTGTCCTGCCCCCTGTGGCTCCGGCCTCGCACCGTGCCCGGCACGTGTAGACATCTCTTAAATGAGGGCATGTTCAGTGGATGAATGGCTCTGTCGCTAAGCTCTTCCCCTCCTGGTGCGGACCCAGCCACCACTGCCTTATCTAGGCCACACCCCCGTCTAAACTCCTTGGAAGCTTAGTCTGGCTTCGTGCCCAAAGACTCCTGGCAGCCACAGCTGTCGCTGTGTCCCCACCCCCGAGGGGCCCCTGAACACGCCCGACTAACACGACTTTCCACAGCATCTTCCCCGCGCCACCCTGCACGACTGGCTGTCCGAAGTGAGGCACCCAAGGGCCGATGGCTGAGGGCCTGGGGTCGGCCAGAGCAGGCCCCCCACCACGGGGGTCCCGGGCCCCTTACGCGTGCGGCTCCGCAGGGAGGCTCAGGGAAGGACCTGGCCTCTGCCCCTAGTCAGGGGACTCTGCGAGGCGTCAGGGCCCAGGAGAAGGCGCGGCGTCTGGCTCTGGGGCCCCCACCTTGCTGTCGCCGGGCGAGTACGAGAGGGCGTCCTTATAACACCGGCCTGCCTTGGCGAGCTCCTTCTCTGCCAGGTAGTGCTCCCCACACTGGACGCAGATGGAGGCCGCCAGCTGCTTCTGGGAGGGCGTCCTCTCCGGCTGCTCCAGTGCAACGCGCTTCAGGACCTGGGCCTGGAGCTCCATGGCCTGGGAAGGCAGGGGGCCCGGGGTCAGGGCGCCAGGGCCCGCGTGCCGGATCTCAGGCACATTCACAGGAAGAATCCCTCCTCTCACTTCCGTGCCAGCAGATTGTCGGAGAGGGCATCTCAAGCGCCCGTGAGCAAATCTGGGCCACCTGGACGGGCGCCGGCCCCTGGCTGAGGACTCAGCAGGCGAGGCGGCTGTGCCCGTGGGGCAGGAGGGGAGGCGGAAGCACAGTCGTGAGTGTGCTCGCCCCTGTCCCCATGGCACCTGACACTTCCCGTGTCGAGCTGCTCGGGCCTCCCCCAGGCTAGACGCAGCCCGCACGAGGTGCGCGGGGCAGGCCGTGTTCTGACGGACGCGTTTGTCCTGGGTGCTGCCCTGCTGGGGGTCGGAGGCAGCCTCCGCAACCGTCTCCGACATGGAGTGAGCAAGCCAGCGGGCAGGGAGCCGGGAACACCGGTGAGGCCGGGGTTCAGCCTCGGGCAGTGGGCACGGTCAGCACGCGCTTCCTGACGGCTAACGCGCAGCGGGGAGCCGGTGGGCAACAAGGGAACAGACAGTCTCAAGGCACCAGAGAGCCGGCCCTCCTGCTCCCAGCGCAGAAGCCACCTCGGGAACAAGCCACCGGCCACACCCAGGCGTAGGAGAGGGAGGGCGCGCGGGAGGAATGGCCGGGAGCCGCGCCCGTGGGGGGGGGAGCTGAGGTTGGGACAGGCCAGGCCTGGTTCCAATCTCAGCTCCACCACTTCCTAGCAGTGACTTCGGGCCCATTTCCTGACCTCCTGGGGCCTATCCGTGAACTAGGAGCATCACAGTGCTCATCTCGAAGGGCTACCCTGAGGGCCACTGAGAAAGCAGCAAGCGCAGTGCAGAGCCCACCAGAGAGCACTCACTGCCCGGGAGCCACTGGCATCCGTGAGGACGCAGGCACCTTCTGACTCCCAGCTCTCTGTGCCCCAGCCGGGCCCGGGGCACTTTGGGGCGCCATCAACGAAGAGCACAGGCCGGGGAATAAACAGAAGGCAGAGGTCAGAGGTGTAACCCAGGTCCCGGTGAGGGCCAGCCCTGGAACCTTCCAGACCCGCAGTCCTCTATCCTTCCTTCTACAGCGCCCACCCGGACGGCCGATAAAGAGCTGGAGCCCATTGTCTGGTGTCGATTACCTTGTTCAAAGGTCCCATCACGTCTTCTTTTTTATGACTCTTGTAAACCTTCGCCAGCAAAAGCAAGCACTTGACGTTGTTCATCATGGAGGGGAGGTCTTTGACTGCAACGTGGAAACTCAGATCAGGGTTCCCTGGTCCCTGGGGAGTCGGGGAGGGGGGAGGGAGGGGACGGGGCTCAGGACTCCAGATACGCCCATCCTGCAGGGGGGGCAGCAGGCAGGGAAGCGACTCAGGTGGCCTCACCAAAGTCATGTTCCAAGGCGTGTTTCAAGACTTTTTCTGCTTTGTTGAACTTCTTTAACTTCAGGAGCAGTTCGGCCAGATCGCAGCACAGAAAGTCCTGTCCGTTCATCTTCTGGGCGGCCTCGTAATAATTGATTGCCTTGGGGTAAACAGGACATTTCGGCCTGAGGGCCTCAAACCGGGCTCCCCTCCGCGGCCGCCACGCCTGCGTGTCCCTCCAGAACACAGATGCCTGCGATGAAAGTGTCCTCCCAGCTGGCAGAGGGCTCAGGCTCCGCGTGTGTGGGGGTGGGGGGTGAGGGTGGGGGTGGGTAGCTTCTGAATTCTCCCCGCCCTTCAGCTAGGGTGGGAACGTGGCCGCTCCCCCGCCCCAGATCCTCCCACCCGTGCACCCTCCCTCCCTCTTCCCTGCTGGGCTGGCCTCCCCCTCCCCCCACCCCAGCCCGGCCTGACCTTGCTGTACTGGTGGGTCTTCACATAGGCCTGGCCGAGCCTGCTGACCAGGAACGCGTCATGTGGGTTCTTCCTATAGGCCTCGTCATATGCCTCCAGGGCCTTCTCGGGCTGGTGGGGAAAGTGTCCAAAGGTCTCTCTCTCTCTCTCCCACCGGAGATGGGGTGGGGGGGGGGGACTGGGCAAGGCCACGAGGCTTTCACTCACCTCCTGAATGTTCATGAAAGCATCACCCAGCAGCAGGCTGGTGTGGGGGCCAGGCAGATGCTCACAGAGCTCCCTGCAAAAGTGACCCAAGCCTTCGCTTGACCCTGTGCATCCTTCACGTTTCTGAATCCATCTCCTCCTCTTCGTTCCCACTAATTCTGACATTCATTTATTCATTCATTCATTTATTCATTCATTCATTCATTCCCCTACTGCTGATTCCAAGCCCGCTGTGCAGGAGGCGCTGTGCTAGCCACCTTAGTCCAAGCTCTCCTCACGTTACCTGGACCAGGCCAGAAGCTCTACCCATTCTTCCGGCCTCCAGTGCTCACGCCCCAGGCCCCTCTGCACCCGCAGGCATGCTGCTCTTGCTAAGACTCCAGTGTGACCGCGTCCCCCGCCGTGTATGGGTTTCCCACCGCGCTTGGCTTTGCCTCCTCCAGCCCCGCCCCCAGCCCCGCCTCCCACCTGGATTGCCCCCACGAAGTTTTGCTTAAGTGGGGGGCTGGGAAGGTCAAACCAGAAAGACAAGGTTTCTAATCCCAGCTCGCCACAGTCCTGCACCTCACATGGGTCACATCAAGTCAGGGACATTTCTTCAAGGACTGGCAGAGTCAGGGGCCAGGGCAGAGGGGCACGCCCGTGGCTCCCCCCAGAACGTGGGCCACACAGGGGAGCCCGCGCAGGCCGGATTCAGTTCTGGGTCTGCAGAACTCAGCAATGAGCCCGCCTAACATATCATGCTCAAATTCTGACCCACGGGAAAGTCTATGATCTAAGACACTTGGAGGATGCAGACCGGAGACCCAGGCTGAAGACACACAGTCTGGAGGAAACACCACCAGAGACGAGGCTGTCAGGCCACTGCCTGGGGCTTACCGGTAGCAGCCGATGTAGAGGCGGATGTCTTTGTGGGCCTGCAGGTAGATGTTGGCCATCTTCTCCTTGGCTTCCACGTAGCAGGGCTGCTTGGGCGTGATGCTCCTCAGCATGCCCAGCGCCATGTCCACGTCCCCGTTGTTCAGGGCCAGGTCCACATTGGCGATGGTGATGCGGACCTCCTCTGGCGTGCCGCTGAACTCGTTGATGGCATCCTGCATGACCTTGGTGGCCTCATGCTAGAGCACGGGAAGCCAGCGGGCCCTCTGTTAGCCGTCGCCCACCACGGGTGGCCTGAAAACACTTGAAATCTCTTGGAGGAGACTCACAGGGACCCTTCTTCCCACCCCTGCCCCCAGAGAGAAATGAAACATGGACACAACCAGGAGCAGCCTTGCCACACGGAAGCCAAGGATAGGATGGCTCACAACCACTTGCAGAGAGGCTCCAGGGGCAGAAAGGAGAGACTTCCCTTCAGTGTCCACCACCACTATTCCTGGGGGCAGGGGAAAGGGGCTCGGCCAGCGGGGGGTCCAGAAACTCTCAACACTTCCTTAGCACCTCAACGTCTGTTGGCAATTCCTTCTCATGGGAGACCTATGGACGCATCTCCTTGTGCTTTCCTGCCTTTGGTCAGAGGTATTTGAATGTTATGGTATTTGACACGGACGGTAATGGTCTATCTGAATTATTTCCCCACTGTATTCATACCCTTGGTTATTTTTAACAAAGTTACTTTCTTTCCCCAGTTTGGTACTTTCTGACTGGGATTCAGCCTGACCAGACATTTTGTCCTCAACCTCTGCTTTCTTTTTGTTTGCTCAGTATATTTGTACCATCTTTGTACTTTCATCCTGGGCTCTTTGGTTTTTGAAGTATAGACAGTAAGGGTTCTTCCTTTGGCTTGTTTAAACCACTCTGATGCCTCTTTTCTTTAAGAGGTACATTTATTTCATTTACAATTTTATTATCACAGATACATTCTTGGTTTTCCCGGCAACTTGCTTTCATTTTTTTTAATCCTTATTTTTTGAGACAGAGAGAGAGAGAGAGAGAGAGAGAGAGAGGTAACATGAGGAGGGAAAGGGTAGAGAGAGGGGACACAGAATCTGAAGCAGCCTCTGGGGTCTGAGCTGTCAGCACAGAGCCCAATGCGGGGCTCAAACTCACCAACTGGGAGAGCATGACCTGAGCTGAAGTTGAATGCTCAACCGACTGAGCCTCCCAGGTGCCCCCAATGACTATTAATCCTTGATTCCCAAAGCTTCATTAGGATATTATTATTAGGATATTTCTCATTCATTCATTCATTCATTTCTAAGTAATTTCCACACCCAACATGAGGCTCGAACTCACAACCCCGAGATCAAGAGTCACGTGCTCTTCTGACTGAGCCAGCCAAGTATACCTTGGGATATTTCTTGGTCTTCATATCTCACCGCTATTTCTCCAAAACAGACTGCCTTTCTGTGTCACTGATTCACGTCGTCCCTAAAGGAACTGTTCTCCTGGGACATCTCTGATGTGTCCCCTGCTCCATTTCTTCTCTCTTCTGCAGGAACGTTTATTTTGCCCTTGTTGGGTGTCTGTCTGTCTCTTATCCAGCCTCCCCTCACATCCCTTCAGCGATTTTCCCAGCCCTCTCCTGCATCAGAGAACTTCAGCAAGGGCTCTGCCACTTCCTATTTTCTTTCACGGGACTACAATTTTCTAATGGAATCCCTGCTTTCTATGCCTACTTTCTTTAAATCGCTAGCTGAGCCCCTCTGTGGGTCTTTGGTGCTCTGCTTTGAGCTGGCTTTTCACAATCCCACGTTCTTTTCATTTTTATTGAATGTAGAAAAGTTTTCTTAAAAGTATTTCTTCTAGGGGCGCCTGGGTGGCTCAGCTGGTCGAGCGTTTGACTCTCGATTTTGGCTCAGGTCATGATCTCATGGTGCCCATGTCGGGCTCTGCGGGCAGCGTGGAGCCTGCCTGGGATTCTCTCTCTCCGTCTCTCTTCCTCTCCACCCCTCCCCTGCTCACGTGCTCTCTCTGAAAATAAATACACTTCTTAAAAAAGTATTTCTTCTATTTTTTATAGCACTCTTTCTCCCAAAGTGTAACCTTCTTGTCTTTTGCTTGTGATTTTGTCTGTCTCCCCTCTTTCCTCTCTTCCATCCTTCCCTCCCCCCTTCCTGCCCACCTACCCTCCCCCCCACCTTTCCCTCCCCCCTTCCCTCCCTCCCCTCCTTCTTTCCCTGTAATCACCACATTGCACCCCTTCTGATCACCCCTCACCCTCAAATGGGACCAGTTCCACCTAACCTGGCCCTTTGCTCAGGAGCTAGGCGTGGGGGGGGGGGTGTCTAGCGCAGCTGTCCGAGGAGCACATTTCCCCTGAGGTTTCTGAGGGTCTTCCTTTCAGGGGCGGGCTTGATGAGAGAGAAGCTGGGGACCGGAAGGAACCCAAGGCTCACTGTGGAGCCCCCAGTCTGCAAATCTGTTATGTGAGCAAAGCAAGCTGCAGCACTCACTGTAGCTTATTTCCCTCCTCACTTTCCTCTGGCCTCGTCTCCTAGAAAGGAGTCCGGACAGAGACGGGGGGCGTCTGAGCAGGGGGTCTTGCTCAGCGGTCCTGCCCTTCCTCGGGCTGGAGCTGAGTCCCTCCAGGAAGGCCCCGGCTTCTCCCGGCTTGAGCACACCTCCAGCTCAGAAAGTTCCTGCAAATGCAGGAACCTCAGGCCCCACCCGCTGCAGCCCTGCTCGCCTTCTCCCACCAACGGAAAGTTCCGAAAGGACAGGGACCTTGCTGGCTTCTCTCCTCTGTCCTCAGCCGCCACGTGGTGCCTGGCAGCTAGCGGGCCCTCCATCAGTAGCTGGATAAATGACTGGCTGCATCACCTGTTCTCAGATGTGGCTGTTCCCTAGGTTTTTATAGATGGAGATTCCTTCTCCACTTTCAATTCTTGTGTTCCTTTTGGCAGATTTAAAGGAGGAAAGTATAGCAAACGGGCTTCTGCATCCCCATCTCTGCCCAGAAGGCAGTTTTTATTTTCCTTAATGTTTACTTTTGAGAGAGAGAGAGAGAGCGCGCGCAAGTGAGCGAGTGGGGGAGGGGCAGAGAGAGAGGGAGACACAGAATCTGAAGCAGCTCCAGGCTGAGCTGTCAGCACAGAGCCCGACAGGTGGCTTGAACCTACGAACTGTGAGATCATAACGTGAGCCGGAGTCAGAGGCCTAACTGACTGAGCCAGCCAGGCGCCCCACCCCCCCAGAAGGTAGTTTTTAAATTTAAGGAGAAAAGGCCTCACGGCTGTTCCTTCTCTAGGGCAGGACCATCACAGGGGCCGGACGCCCAGTACTGGCGGATCCCGGAGACGGTCCTGGGGCCCGGCTGACACACCCCTCTGGGGACAGCAGGTGAGCGGCCGCCCCTTCGCACCAGCAGAGGACGCCGGGTGCTTCCTGCCTTTGCCAGGCCAGACATGCCAAGGCCCCGGGGCCGCCTCATACCATTGAGCAAATTATCTACCACAAAACTGCAAGGGGACACAGCTCATCGTGACTGCGGTGGGACGGCGGCATCTACGGGGCTGTGCACTGTGTCTCCGCCTCTGTGAGACCCTCCTGGGGACAGCGAGGCAGGCGGACAGGGGACGGGTCCGGCGGGACTTGGAAGGCATTGGACGTTACCTAGAGGCCCCGGGAGCCACCGAAGGCCTTGGGCAGGGGTAGGATTCGCTCGCACACGAATAGAGGCTCAAGGAACAGAACAAAGAAGCATCGGCCAGAAGCGTCACCCGGACCCCCCGCGCGCCCCGGTCCCGAGGGACGAGAGCGTGGCACGTCTTACCAGCTCCCCGTTCTTCCGGAGGGCATCTGCCAGTTCCAGTAAGATGGACAGCCGCTCGCTGGGCTGCACGGAGCGCCCGCGCGGCTTCCTGCCCTCTTCCACCTTGCGAGCTGGCAATTTCACGATCATTTTCAGCGTCTTTATGGCTTCTGGATAGTCCCCGCACTTGCTGAGGGCCCTGGCCTTGATGAAGTGGTAGAGGGGGTGGTCTCGGACCTAGAGGCGCACAGAGGGGCCTGGGGCTCCGGTTCACTGCAGCCGCCGCTCACCGCACCCGGACTGGAGAAAGCTGCGGAAGCCCACGGAGCCTGCCCTGGCTTTGGCCGGCACAAGGGTCCGAGGGATGCAGGGGGCTCCCGGGGCCTCTCCCAGGGCAGGTGGGGGCTGGGGCCAGCTGGGCTTCGGGATGCCGGGTGGGCCACTGGGCACAGGGGACCCCACCTGGAAGTTATGGCTGACACCCAGCTCCAAGCTGTGGGTGCACATGGCAAAATTGCCCTGCGCCAGGTAGACGTGGGACATGAGGAGGTGGGCGTCCACGGAGGTGGGGTCCAGCTCCAGGCAACGCTGCAGGGTGCTCTGGGCGCCCTCTAGCTCTCCTGCAACGACAAACAGATCTCCACATCCAGGGCTCCCCGGGGACCCCCAGGACCCGGTGTGTAAAGGCAGAATGTATTTTATAAGTCCCGTTACCCAGAAATATTTTATGCAGTTCCGTCCTGTCTCACTCAGAGGTCTCTTCCTGAAATCAGAACAACCCAGACAAAAGCCGGGAACCTCAGACTGTGGTGTCACCCTCAAGGAGACGGCTAAGTGGCGTCACTGCCCTGTCCAGGAGGTCCAGGGAACACCTCTGTCCCAATTCCCACCTCAGAGCAGAACGAAACCTAACAATAACAGCACCTAGAATAGCCCCGACTTACGAAGCACTTGCTCTGTGCCCAACACATGCAAAGCACTTTCAGAAAGTCAGGGTTATGAGGTGCCCCGCCCTGCAAGATTGGCAGTATTATCTGCGTCTTTTAGGTGTAGGACTGGAACCTAGTTACTGCGCTTACCAGGGACAAAGTCAGCATTGAGACCCAGGGCCATCGGCTCACCGGCTGCTCTGCCTGCCTCCACACTCAGGGGTGAGGGCGCCCCCTGCAGCCTGGCCTCGGGAGCCTCAGCATGTCAGCCCAGGGGTGGGTGCAGAGAGCTGGGAGGGGAGCTGCCCCCCCCCCCCCCCCCCCCCCCCCCCCCCCCCCCCCCCCCCCCCCCCCCCGCCAGGGCTCTCAACAGCTTCTGCTCAGGGTCCCTAACCGGGTCCCTAACCGCCTGCCCCTTCCTAGCGCTGCAGAAACGCAAAGGGGTCACTATGGCAACCGAAGCCACTGGAGACCTGGCTCTGGCCCTAAACTCAGCAGCTGCGGCGCCCCGGGGAGAGCTCCTGCCCTTGCCGGGCTCCCAGGAGCTCTGGAAGCCTGTGGGTAAACCTGGAAACCCAGAGGAAAACAGGGAGGCCCACGGATGAAGACGGGGTGGGAGGGGGTGTCTGCACAGCGTGACCCATGTGAGGCCATGCCAGAACGTGCCAGAATGTGCCAGACACACGCCATGGCATTTGGGACCCTTCGGAAGCTGGTGCAAGGCCGCAGGTGGAGAGTACTCAGGGGGAGGCAACGAGGGTCCCACGGAGGCCTGTCCCCCGTCCCCTCTCTCTCCAGGACCTGGGCCTTGAGATGGAAGGAGCCGGAAGGATACTGCTCCGGCCACCTCCCCATGATGCCCTCCTGACCCTGTCCCGCCCCTCCCCTGCTTTGGTTCCCAACCCAGCGCGGAGTCCAAATGGATGAACAGATGCGAGAGGCCCCAGGGGCTCACCTGAGAGGTACTTCACCTGGGCCATCACATACAGGGGCTCGATCAGAGCCGGCGCCACTTTGACCACGGGATTCAGGATCATGGCGACTTGTTTAAGAAGTGGAGACACGATCTGGCCCGGCGACCGCGGCTGCAGGGACAGGGGCCTGGCTGTACAGTTTGCCCCATTCCGGAGGGCCCCCTGGAGCTGGCGGGAAGCGCTCTCCCAGTGCAGGAATTCTACTCTACTCCTCACGGCTCTTATCGGCACTGCGCACCCAGTGCTGCAGCAGGGGCTGCAGAGAACCGGGCCTTGCTTTGCTCACAGCCGTGTCCCCAGTGCCCGACGGGGTGTGCGCACTTGATGGGTATTTGTGGAATGACTCGTTACCCAGCACTGGGGGGGGGGGGCTAAGACAGCAGGATAAGACCCTTGCCCACAGAGAAGGCAGACAAACAAGGGAAGACTAACAGCCTTCGGAGACGACTTGTGGGGCAATGGGGCAGGTCGCGGTCTAGGGTGGAGGCGGAGGCATGGAGCAGCGGCCTGTCCCTATGGGTGAGGCGTGTGGACCAGCGGCATAGGGATCCCCTGGGAGCTTGTTCAAGATGCGGGTCCCCTGCCAGCCCCCCAGACTGCACTGGAACAGCTCACAGGTGATCCGTGTGCCGCACGTGCGTGGTTGGGAAGCACCTGCTGACGGGGCCAGACGGGGTCCCGCCTCGTGCGGCCGATGCCCCAGCCCCCGCCGCGCAGGGGGACCTCCTCTAACCTGCTTGGGGCAGAAGAACAAGTACTCCCTGGCGACGCAGACCAGGAAGGGGGGGTCCAGCCTTTGGAAGTACTCGGGGCCCAGGGGCAGGCCCTGCAGGCTGGAGCAGTGCAGCTCCGTAGCCTCCTTCAGGAGCGCGGCGGCTTCCTGCTCCCCCGGGCGCGTCCTGGACGCCAGAAGGGCCTGGAGGAAGACCAGCACCTGTGGGAGGCAAGCCCGGGGCCGGGGCTCAGCACCAGCGCCAGCTGGGCCTGGGGGAGGCGAGCAAAGCCGGGGTCCAGCCCCCCTCCCCCCGAAACTGGAGACTGGGGGTGGGGGGAGGGCGGGGACACAGCCCGGAGCGCCCACGCGCCCAGGCAGCTCTGACCTCAGACTTCCCGAGGGACTGCTGCACCTCCTTCAGGAATTCCAGCTGCTGCTCGGCCTCCTCCAGGTGGCCTTCCAAGATCTGGCACCAGATGATCCCTGGGAACGGGGCGGACAGAACAAGCATGAGGAGCCTGCGGGACCGCGACCGCAGAGGGAAGCGCCCCGGGCAGGCGGCCTCTCCCAACGTCTCCGCAAACGCAGCGCTGCAGGCTCCCTGAACGAGGTGGAGGCAGGAGGCGGTGCGGGGAGACGACCAGGGCCCAGGCTCTGGCTTTGACCGCGCCTCTCTCCAGGGTAACCGCCGGTCACAATCTGGGGACGATTCCTTCAAAGACATCTCTCTAAGCATTCGTTTTTCAGTACCATGTACACACGCACTTTACACACATCGGTTCAGGCAAAACCCACCCCATTCTCTTTAATGACGACATTGTGGCCGGGACATGTTATTGCGCTATCGCCCCAGTGAAGGGCACCTCATTTCACATCTAGTTTTCTTTCGATGCTTAAATGTTACGGCGCCTCGGTAAACATATTTCCGTGTTCTGATTCCCGCAGCAGAGGGGATTGGTCAAAGGGCATGTGTATCTAAAACGCTGAGAGATAAGGCAACTGTCCTCAGATGTGGGAGAGGGCGTTACTGCCACGAACTTGAAAGCAGCCTTCGCCACAACCTCGCAGACACGCTTTACTCTTTGCCAGTGTAAACAGTGAATAACAACTCATTTTAGTTCCTTTTCTTTTTATTAATAGGGAAAAGGAACATTTTTCCATACCTTTAATGCCTCTTTCCCTTCTACTGTGAACCTCGTGTACATAGCTGTAGCCCGATTTTCTCTTAGGGTGATTTGTTTTCTTTTTATAAATATTAAGATCATTAATCCTTTATAGTAAATGTTTTGCACTCATTAGCCATTTACCTTTTAACTCTTTTTCAGTCTTTTGCCATCCATTGGTTTGAAATTTTTACACAGTCAAATCGGTAAAATGTTTTCTTCTAGGGCTTCTGAGTTTCTCTCAGGGAACCCAAGTCCGACTGAACTTTTATGTTTAAATGTTTAATTCATCTGGAGCTTTTACATTAACAACATTTTTTAAAGTAATTTTTACCCCTGACGTGGGGCTTGAACTCACGACCTCAAGATTAATCGTCACGTGCTTTACCAACGGAGCCAGCCAGGTGCCCCTGGAGCTTATTTCCGAGTACGGCGTGAGATGGGCACTTCCCTTTGTGCTGTTCACACTGGAGAGCCAGGCGCCCACCATTTTGGTTTGAAAGGTCACCTTACTCGTGAGGCCTGCTTCCATCCGTCTGTCTCCGTTTGCTCCAGCGTGGCCGGGCCGGAGCTGACTTACCTACTGTCGCTCCGTAACGTGTTTGGAATTTGGGAACACAAATCCTTCCACTCCTACCATTCCTCCTTTATGGCTGTTTCTTGGTCATTTTGGTGTATTTGTTCCTGACTGTCTTCCTATCTTGGTTTTCACTTATATCCATCCCACCGTTTGGCTCATCTATGGAATTAAATTACCTCGCAATCGTATTTGTAATTTTCAGTCACTTCTTTGTTCTCTACAATCTTTGTCGTAGGAGCCTGTTCTTTACCCACTGGCTGACGTCGCAGCCACTGCAAAGCCTGCTCTTCTGCTGGGGGAGGGGAAGTCTTTGCTCCTCAGAGGGCCATGGCCTTGCATGCACTTGGCCCCTCTTTCAAACTGCTAGCAGACCGACAAACGGACCAGACTGCTGAGCATTAGCAGCTGAGGCAGATTTCCCAAATTGTTAAGGTCGCTGCTTTTCTGGGCTGTGGACTTCCATTCTGGCTGCCTGGCCAGGGCTCCCCTGAATGAGGAAGTGGGGAGGGACTGAGCTGGGTGGGGCCGCGTCCTCGGGGTGTGGCCTGTGTGAGGAGCAGCAAGTCTTTCTGCCCTTCACGTCCCCGGTGGTGGGGGCGCATCAGGGGCTCTGCTCCCTCCTGCCCCACCGCCTTTCAGGGGCTCCTGATCCCATTCTCTGGGCCCCTTGTTATGTCACTGACTGCCCCTCATGGCATGTTTGCTCCCAGCCTCCAGTGACCCTGAACTTGTGTTTTTTTTTTTTTTTTTTTCCCAAACAGAGAGAAAGAGAGAGGCAGGGAGAGAGGAAGAGCGAGAATCCCAGCATGCTCTGCACTGTCAGCGTAGAGCCTGACGCGGGGCTGGGTCCCACACACCATGAGATCGTGACCTGAGCCAAAACCAAGAGTCAGACGCTCAACCAGCTGAGTCGCCCAGGCGCCCCTTGTTATTTTTCAATTCTTGTTTTCTTGGAGCTCTTTGGGGGAAACCGGAGCTCATTTCTTTAGCTGCCCTGCCTATGTCAATGCTGGCAGGTGGGTTTCCCGACTGGCTTATTATTGCCTTGCTTTTGACGCTGTCTGCCTTATACCTTCTAGAAATGTGCTGTTCTCATCATTTCTGGTCCACCAAAGGCAGCTTTCTCGGTTTCTAGGGCTGCAATTCTCTTTTCAGGATTCTATGGGCTTGGAAGTGGAGGAAGGTGCAGAGGCTGCGGAGTCAGCCTGACGTGGTGAGCCAGAAATCACGACCAACCTGCCGTGCTGCTGAGGAGGCTGGGCTGTAGACAGAAGGGGCTCGACCCGCAAGACACAGCTCCCGAGAGCTGCGCCTGCCTGGAGGCCGGGACCATACAGGTTCCTCAGCCAGAATTAAAGTGCTGGTTCAGAATTCACCAGACACTGTAGATCTGAAGGCTTGAAAAAACGTGTAAAATGAAAATTGGGCTCTGGAAAATGTACTGACATTTCTCTAACGTGGGGTGTGGGGGGGTCTGGACAGACAGGGAAGTAAAACTCTCCAAACTGTTGCTCTGGTGGCCGTTCAGCTCAGGCGCCTGCAGAGGGAGAGTCTGTAGAGGGGAGGCCAGCAGTGTTGGGTTGGGCAGAAGGGGGCGCTGCCGGTCCTGGGGGGGGGGGCGTGGTGTGGACATCGGAGGTCTGATGTAGACCGGAGTGGCTATGGCCACACTTCTGACAACTGCTGTGCCTCCCACATCCGTACTTATGATTCGTGGGGTGCCCTCAGCGTCAGCTGGTTCAGTGCCCAGGTCATGACCCCAGGGTCATGGGATCCAGCCCCATATGCAGAGCCTGCCTGAGACCCTCTCCCTCCCTCTGCCCCTCCCCCACTCTTACACTTTCTCTGTAAAACACACACACACACACACACACCACCCTGTCACACAATGTCCCCCAAACTCACACGCCCTCTAGGGAGGGTGCCCGCCAGCTCCGCGCTTCTGGATCCACGGAGGCCACCCTGCTCCCCGCCTTCCCGCCCCCACCTTGCCCACACCGCGACCTGTCAAGGCAGCCACGCTGTTCTCGTCCAACTTCATGGCCTCCGAGTACCACAGGGACGCCTCCGTCACTTGGTCCCGCAGGACGAAGATGTAGCCCAGCTCTGTGGCCGCGTGGGCATAGGAAGCTGTCGCCATGAACGTGCGCTCAATGAAGCCGCACACGAGCCGCAGGATGGCCTGGTGCCTTCCACACTGCAACGGGGGACACATGGGGTGGGGAGAGCTGTCGGCCCAGCCGTCTGCGCGAGGCCGTGTCAGGAGTGGGGGACACTAGCAGGCCTGTTCCGGGGCGCTTAGGGGAGCCTACGAGGCGCCGTGACCCACAGAGACGGGTGTGTGCCTTTGACTGGCTTCCAAAGAGCCTCACGCTGGGCACCTCTGTGGGACCTGCCTGCAGACACAGGGCCCTCCAGAGGACCCACCTCCTGGCTGAGTCACCAACAAGCTTTCAAAAGTTGAAGCTGGGTGAGAGGTGTCTGTGCCCTGTGGATGGGGAGTGGCCCCGAGGGCAGCCCCGTCCCTGCTGAGGGTGGAGAGCCAGCCGCCAGCAGCAGACACAGGTGTGTGTCTCTGAAGCAGACCGGGTGTCCCAGCGGCATCGGGCCCCGCGGTCCTGGGGCCCCATGGCGACCCCCGTTTCTGCAGCAATTCCTTCTGGTAGGTTTGCTTTGGGGCTGGAGGGTCTGACGAGGACACACTGCGGCCACCTGGCCTGTGTGACGGCAGAGGGGGTACAGGCGGGCCACCTCCACGGAGGGGGAGGACGGCAGCGGCTGCCTGGCGCCCTGGGCTAGAGCGACAGCCACAGCACAACTCTCTTCCCTGGACGACAAGCCTCTTACTCTAGATGCACTGCCAGACCTGGGGGCTCAGACCTTTCTCGCGTCCCCGAGCGGCCGAGGAAACAGCCTATGCGGTACAGTTACTGCTCTGAGGCCCGTAGGGGCCACTAGGGATGGGCCCCCAGGCTGAGAGGCCAAGTCTGAGCCGGAGAGGGGAGGGCAGTGTCCCCGGGGGGCTCCCCTTAGGAACAGCCAGCAGGAAGCACGATTTTGGAAACTTGGAAAGACCCTCTTACCAGCCTGCTAACCACAAGAATTTTTTTAAGGTGGAGGCTTGGGTTTTGGGGCTCTCTGGTCTCCAGTGCCTGAATCAGATTCCGGACATGGCCCGCAGCCTGTGGGGGCAAAAGAGGCCACGTCAGAGGTAATGTGTAAGATGGGGAGTTGGGCGGGGCTCGCACCCTGCGGCCCGCAGCCTCCCCGGGGGCCTGAAGACGGCCCCAGGGATTTGGGGTGGGCCCAGGCACCGGTCGGACTTTCAGGAGCTTGTTGACTCAAGAGCTGGCGCTGCCCCTCTGTTCATGGATTTGCGGAGAGAAGCTGCCCTCGCGCCCCCCTGCCCCGCCGGAGCCAGAAGCCAGCTGCCGCGGTGCCCACACAGCACATGGTCCTGGCCCCGAGCCTCTGCTCCACGGTGACATGAGTCACCACACTGGTGCCTGTTGGTCATTCCAGCGAACGCTCTCGAAGGCCCCGTAAGTCAATACAAGCATCTGAATTGTCCAGTCCGGCAGACAGGTCAGGTGATCTGCCTGAGGCCCCTCGGCCAAGCGGGGAGCAGACTCCAGAGCCCTTATTCTTTCCAGTTGCCTCCTCTGTCCACCCCCTACCGAGGAGCGGGGAGCCCTTAGTTCCTGGACGCGGAGAGGGACCCGGAGAGAGAGCCTGGCAGGAGCGCGTCTCCTCTGCTCAGCAGGGGCAAAGCACGGTCAGCACTGAGCAGCCTGGGCTGGGGAGGGGTCAAGTCCCAGGGACTGAGGCGGGGGTGGGGGGTGGGGGGTGAAGGGGGCATTGAGGCAACTCTGCCTCTCGGACCAACCCTCAGGCCAAGCCCCAGGGGGGCCTGCCCAGGGCTCCTGGGTCGCGTGAAGCTGAGGACCGTCCTCCGTTCCTACCCCGAGGAGCTGGGAAGAAGCTGGGAAGAAGCGAGAGCTCCTTCCAAATGCGGACGGTGCCCTCGGGCTCAGCCCGCCCCCCAGAGCCCACAAGCTCAGAGCCTCGCAGAAGGAGCCGGAGGCTTCCTCTTTCCACCATGATGCCTTAGACACTCCCGATTTGCCACACGCTTCACTGAAGCAACGTTATTTATTCAAATGGCAGCGTTATGGATGAAAAGGCAAACCCATCCTGGCATTGAGGCTTTCGTTAAGAAGGGTTTCTGTGTTTGAGGGCTGTGTTGGATTTCTCTGGAACATGACAGGGCTCAGAAGCAAGTGTGGGGCCAGGTTCCACCCGGCCGATACCTGAGCAATTCCAGCTCCTCCCTAACAGAATGGCATTTTAGTTGAGGTCTATCGTGACAGGGCTTTTTTCTGCAGACCTACCTCACTGGAAATGCTTCACGGAGTATACGTGTGGCTTCCTTTATTCACAGAACTACGTGTTAGACGATACCTCTATCTGTTAAAACTCTGCGAAAGACCTAATCGTCCAAATTTTACAGCCTTAGGTACTGCAGTATTCCAACGATCTGTACGATTCTAGGGTGTGCTAGTTTAGGGGCGAATACGATTTGAAACCATTCACAATCAGAGGCTGTTTGAGCCTGAGGACCAGGCAGATCCGTCTACTCGGACCCTAAACGTGGCCCAAATGTAAAAAACTCGGATCCCCAAGACCACAGGGGGGGAAGTTTTGAACACTGTCCACATTCAAGTGCAGACTCACGATGCCCAACAGGAAGAATTCTGGGCTGTTTGGAAGGTTATGATTTGGACTTGGGAGGAACTATGGTGATTGGCAGTGGAAGGAATCACCTGTAAAAATCCTTAAATAAAAATTTATTGACTTTAAATGTAAAAAAATGGCATTTCGTGACATAGGGCCGTGTTCCAAGTTCTCCATTTGTCATCTCATTTAACCCTTACAACGACCTCACAAATGGTGGGGACTGTCTGCAATTTACAAATGAGGATCCCAAGGCTTATCCGGGAGCCCAAACCGTGGTCAACCTCCCTGCGTGCCCACAGGGCAAACCAGCGCAGACCTGCTTGACAGGGAGTGGGGTGGGGGCGGGTGGGGGGGGGGCTGAGATCCAGGGAGCAGCCTCCAAGGCCCTGGGGATGGCGGCACTAAGAGGGCTTCCTCCCAGGCTGTGCACGTTTCAAGGCCTGGCTTCTGAGTCTTGAAAAGAACTTACTATGGTCATGTTTCCTTCTCTTGCAAGTTGATGCACAGCTAGGATTTGGCAGGCGTCAATATTGCTCTCGTCTCTCTCCAGGATTCTGAAATAGGAAGAGGAGCCACATGAATTGAGTCTTCACAGGCAAGGAAGTTCAGAGTGGCTGCCACTTCTGAACGTCTCCCAGTATCCATTCTCCCTTCTCCTTTCAATGACGGAATCCCCAGGGCAGCTCCCGCGTGGCTCCGTAGCTTAAGTGTCTGCCTCTTGATCTCAGCTCAGGCCTGTATGTATGTATTTACTTTTTTAAACAGGCTCCACGTCCAGCCTGGAGGGAGTCTAAGACTTGAACTCACGGCCCTGAGATCAAGATCTGAGCTGAGGTCAAGAGTCAGATGCTTAACCAACTGAGCCACCCAGGGGCCCCTTCAGCTCAGGTCTTGAGCTCAGGACTGTGAGTTCAAGCCCTGTGTTGGGCTCCACGCCTGGCGAGGAGCCTCCTTAAGTCAAACAAACACACAAAAGTAATAGAACTCCCCACTGAGCTGGGCAGTGGCTACCAGAATAAGGGGTACATCTCCCGGTGGCCCCGCAGCTGAGGTGTGGCCCTGGGGTTAAGCTCTGGCCAACGGGCTGTAAATGCAAGGGCCCCGTGTGATGCCGGCTGTATGCCTGCTGCCTGCCTTCCATCTCTTCTCCTTCCTCCTTCCTGCTGGGGGCGGAAACGTGGACCCTGTGAGCTGCGTCCTAGGTAGAGCAGCAAGTCAGAAGGGGCGCGGGACCCTACAGGGTGGGGGTGCTGTCCCTGGCCTGGGCAGCCACCAAACTTCCACCCGGGAGATGGGATAACCTTTCATGTTACTCAGGTCATGTGTTGTCTGGGTGTCTTTGTGACACAGCCTATTTGTATTGAAATGAACACAGGTGTGATTGCGGTACCGTGGCCCCGGGGGGGGGGGTGCGGAGAGGTGCTGGTGGGACAATCGTGGCGGTAAGTTGGAAAGGGAACCCTGCTTTCCATCACGCGTGTCATCGTGAAGAGGTAGTTTCTGGTCATGCATACTGGTGTTGGGGGGGGAGGAGTGTTCAATATTCTGCTTATAGGAAACTTCACGCATTTTTCAGCCAGGGTAGGGAGGGCCTTCAGCTTCATAGAGGGTTACTCGAGGGGCGCCTGGGGGGCTCAGTCCGTTAAGCGTCCGACTTCGGCTCAGGTCATGATCTCGCGGTTCATGAGTTCGAGCCCCGCGTTGGGCTCTGTGCTGACAGCTCAGAGCCTGGAGCCTGTTTCGGATTCTGTGTCTCCCTCTCTCTCTCTGCCCCTCCCCTACCCCCACTCCGCCACTCTCTCAAAAATAAATAAACGTTAAAAAAATAGGGTGTTACCCTAATGAGCACACAAAATTCTAACACGATTAATTAGGTACAGTTAACATTCAAACAGTTCTAACCACTCGTGGTGATTCTGAAGGTACTGTGGACCAAAGACATTTGGACATTAAAAAAAAAACTTTAAAAATTTTTTTAAAAAGTTTTATTTTAATGAGAGAGAACCAGCAGAGGAAGGGCAGAGGGAGGGGGAGGGAGAGACACAGAGAGAGAGTGAATCCCAAGGAAGCTCAGTGCTCAGCACACCCTGAGACCACGACCTGAGCTGAGATCAAGAGTCAGATGCTCAACTGACCGAAGCCCCAGGTGCCCCCCCCCCCAAAAAAAAACCCTTAAATAACTTAGGGACTAAAGAAGAATCAGAATGGATATTAGAGAATTCTTAGAGCCAAAACGATACTGAAAATATACATATCCAAACATGTAGATACTGCTAAAAATGGTACCTTGCGGGACTTACACACTGATATTCTGAAAGCAGATGGAGAATGGATGGCCAGGCATCCAACCAAGAGAAGACGGAAGAGGTTGCAGGAAATCATAGAGACCAGACACGAATAAAGCAGAAAACAGAGATGTGGGAGAGACCACCAACAAAACCAAAAGCTGACTTTTCAAAAAGATCATTAAAGGGGCGCCTGGGTGGCTCAGTCGGTTAAGTGTCTGAGTTCGGCTCAGGTCATGATCTCACGGTTCATGGGCCTGAGCCCCACGTCGGGCTCTGTGCTGACAGCTCAGAGCCTGGAGCTGCTTCCGATTCTGTGTCTCCCTCTCTCTCTGTGTCTCCTTCTCTCCCTGTCTCCCCTGCTCCCATTCTGTCGCTCTCAAACACAAACATTAAAGACATTTTTTTAAAGATTAATAAAAGAAATCAGTTATTCAAATGTTGATGAAGAAAAACAAGAGGAAAGGGAAAAATAAATAACATTAGGGATGGAAAGAGATACATACCTAGAGGAGGCAGAGATTTTAAAAAACAATGGGGGCTGGGGCGCCTGGCTGGCTCCCCAGGACCATGAGACTCTTGATCTTGACCCTTGGGGTGGTGAGTTCAAGCCCCCGTTGGGTTGGGCGTACTTGACCTGGCTCCTGCCGAGCACACTGGCCAGGTTCCCGCTGCGAGACGGGAGGGCCGAGGCCCACACGCACCGCACGAGCTGGCCCCCATGGGTGGAGCCGGCCCGATCGTGTTCATTTGTTACGGGCCGCCTCTCTCTGAGACGCAAAGGCCCTGGATGGCCATCGGAGGAATCACCATTCCTCCACGGGGAAGGAAGAGGCCTGCTTGCGACATGTGTGGTTTCGAACTGTGGGGTGTATGACCACAGTCTAGTAGCGCTTCATGGGGGTGACGTGCCATCGCTCAGGAAAAAAAAATCAGTCTGCGAACTCTCTTTGGGGAGAACATGAGTAGTATCCGATCTAGAATTACTAGATACTTAATTACTTAGTAAAAATAGTTAAAGCGTTTAAAGAGATAAGCTTCAGTTTATCTAGAAAATGCCATCCTAGGAAAACCTCCCATCAGACACGCCCTCCCCCGCAGTGGTCTTTATTTCCATGACATTGACCGGGCTCCCAGGTCGCCCTGACTGGGGGTCTGTCCCACACGTCCCAGGGACTTCCCAGCGCTTACGTCCGGCCTCAGCCAAGTCACCGGTGACCCCGCCCCCGCCCGCCCTGCTTAGAGCCAACTGCTTGTGGCCCTGTGGCCCCGGCTGCTCTGGGTTCCTTGGGTCGCTCCCTCCGGCTCTCTCTCAGCCGACGTGCGTAGACCTCTAGCTGTGCCCATTTCTGTGTGTCCTGCCCGCCCGCCCTCTGATCGCATCACGGTCCGAAAGCAGTGACTTTTGTGTCTTGTCCCGTCAAGCACACACTGTCGGGATCCCCTCTGCCCGGCTGGGACGGCGGGAACACGTCGGCGCCGTACCACCCGCGTCGCGCCTCACCTGTGCCCGGTCTCTACCGCCTGCTCCCAGTCCTGCTGGGCCAGGAAGAGCCGCATCTTCAGGACCAGCGCGGGCAGGAAGCTGCCCGAGGGGCCGGCGATCTGGTTCACCACCTCCAGGGCCCCCACGTAGTTCTGCTGCGTCATGAAGTAGGTCGCCTGTCGAAAGGCCAAGGGAAGAGCCTCCGTCAGTGCCCACGAGGGGGGGGGTCCGTATCTCCGCCGCCCAGGGGCAGAGCCAGGCACACGGGCACTGCGGGTCCCCCCCCCACCGCGGGGCCAGGCCCTCCCCCGAGGCCCCTGGGGAAGGACTCAGCACTGAGTGACAAAGCAAGGCCCACAGCAGTCTCGGGGTCCTGGACGGGCTGGGGTGCCGGGAGACGGCTGAGCCCCAGGCAGGCGTGGGACACGGCCCGGCCGCGGAGGCCGCCCCGGGGGGAGGCCCGAGCGTGCTGGGCCCTTCGAGTCCCACAGACGGCCCACTCGTTTCCCATTCGTATTCTTTTCTTAAAAAATTTCAAAAATGTTTATTTATTTCTGAGAGAGAAGGAATGTGCATCCGGTGGTGGAGGCCAGAGAGAGGGGACAGGATCCGAGACGGGCTCTGCGCTGACAGCAGGGAGCCCCGTGCGGGGCTCAGTCAAGAACTGTGGGATCGTGACCTGAGCTGAGTCAGATGCCTGACCCACTGAGCCCCCCAGGTGCCCCCAAATCGCTTTCTGGAAGGTTATGGCCCAGGCCCAGGGTCAGCTGGCACTTGCAGGTACCCCGTTAAAGAGCGGTTTGTGCCCCCTCTGTCCAGGCCGCTGCCGGCCACCAGGTCGTGGCACGACCCAGGTGCCTGAGGGCCCAGGGCACGGCTCCGGAGGGACTTGGCGTTGGGCTCTGAGGGGAGCTGCTGTCAGGCCGGCAGCCGCCCGTATGGGGCTCGTTAGAAACAGGACTGGGACTGTTCTAGATGCAGGTTCACGCGTACACGTGCTCCCTGCAGCGCCCTCACTGCGAGCTGAAGACGATCTCAGCGTCCAACAGCAGGAGACCGGGTGGCAAATTACATTAGGCCCGCGCGACGGGGGAGATGCTCGAGGTGGCATCTTCAAATGACGGAAAGGGATGCCCTGTGATTATCGCCGTGTTAAGTGACAGCACCGGCCCCGCCTGCGGAGCTGCTCAGGGAGGACCCTTGCAGGGCCAGGAGGGCTGAGAGCTGCCGGCCCTCTGGGCAGCCCGCCCCGTGGGGTCACCCTGTCCCCTGGGGGCGGCCCCCACCCAGCCGCTGGTCAGGGAGGGGGCCGGGGAGGGGCCACCCCAGCTCTGGAACCCCGAGTCGGCTGAGGCCTTCGCTGCATCACAAAGTGACTTCTGCCACCCGGTCCTGCTTCTGGCCCCTCCCCCCCAGGTGCCGGTCCCAAGGGTGCCCCCAGAACGCCCCGCCAGGCACCCCGGAGCCGCACGCGTGGAAGACAGACTGGGAGACGCGGCCCTAAAGTGGCCACGTGAGCTGTGTGGAGTGGGAGGGCGAAGGGCGCCGTTTTAATTCATCTTTTGAGTTTATCAGCCTCCTGTGTTTTTTTGAATGAGGACACATTCGTTTTTCTAAGATACAGACAAAGAGAAGAGACTAAGAGGCTAGTTTTTCTTTCATTGGTTGATTCCGTGAGGGTCACGTAAGAAATAAAGAATGTAATTTAGGTGGAGATCAGAAGACACCAAACTTCTACGCCATCTCCCTCCTCCCTCCGAATTTAACCAGAGGGAAGAGAGAGTGGGGCGTAAAAGGTAGAGACAACAGGGCAGACCCTGAGGATGGGACCCCGAGGGGACCCCACACAGGAGGAGACGAGCCCTGGGCTGCTGTGGGACCCGGACTCTCTCTGGGCACCCGCTCCCCACCGGCCAGGAGACGGCCTGAGACAGAGCGTCTGGCCCAAAGTCTCCCGTGGGACCCCCTCCCGCGGAGGCCCAGGTAGGGACCCCCCTGCCCCCCGCAGCCCAGGTAGGGACCCCCGCCCCCCCCCACGGCCCAGGTAGGGCCCTCGCGCCCGCGGCCCACCTTTCCCATGAGCCCCAGCACATCTCTGGTGTCCTGCGTGCCTTGTTCCAGGTACTTGATGGATTTCTTCACCGCGTGGGGCTGGTCTGAGGTGAGGTCCACCCAGCCTCTGAGCACGTAGCCCTGGGGGCGCAACAGGACGGAGATGCGCACGCGGCCCCACTCCTCCCCGAGGCCCTGCTCTCTCCCACCGTCAGGATGCGCACTGACCGCTTTCCCGGCGCAGCCCCCCTGACCGGAGCCCCCCACCCGGTCCGCTACCACTAGTGGCTAAAGCTCAGCCTGGGAGGGCGCTCCCCTGACGCCCCCCGCGCTGCTGCCCCGCCACACACTCTCACGGGCGCGGCCACTGGCCGGCTTCTCGCGCTGGGATGGGGCGGGGGGCACGGCTGCAGCTCTCCCCGGGGCTCAGCCGAGCGCGGCGGGCGGCCCGAGCGGTTCTGAGCTGGGGGCCTTGCCAGCCCCGCGCCAGCCTTCCCCCAGGCTCCGCTGGGTGGGCGGCCGCGCCTGAGGTGGGGTCCGAGGTGCACTTGCACACTCGGCCCCGAAGGCTCCCTCACGCCCCAGACCCGTATTTCTCACTCTTTACCACTCACTCGCCTCCGAAGGAGCCTTTGCTGATGTTTCAATTTCCCTAATTGTTTCCTCTCCCTCCAAGACTTTTTTTTTGAGAGAGAGAGAGAGAGCGCGCGAGCGAGTGAGCGTGTGAGTGGGGTAAGAAGGTAAAGGGGGAGAGAGGGAGGGAGGGAGGGAAGGAGAGAGAGTCCAAGCAGGCTCCATGCTCAGTGTGGAACTTGATCTCATGACCGTGAGATCACGACCTGTGTGGAAATCAAGACTTGACGCTTAACCGACTGAGCCCCCTGCCCTCCGAGACACTATAATATCACAGATACACTACCTGTTTATGTAGTGTGCAAATCTGTGTTCTATACTTTTTTTTTTAGCTCCCACCCTTCTGTATTTTATACTTACACAGTAAGATTTTTTTCACCCCCTCCTCTGGGAACCAATTTCCACCCCTTTGGGGGTGAGATCACCTCTGCTGAGGTGGAGACTAGACTGAGCCTACACTGAGGCTTCAAACTCATCAGTGCAGGTCTGCCGCGCGTGAGGTGTGCCCCGTACGGGATACGCCGCGCGTGAGGCCCAGCGCGTGTGAGGGTGTGAGGCCCACCGTGCGTGCGACCTACTGCTGACATCCAGCAGGCCTCCCAAGAAGGCAGTGGGCCCGCAGTGTAGCCAACTCCTCTAATTTGCCAAAAGACCCAGGAAATCTGGCCTTTCGGTAAAAACATTTTGCTTTCTAAACGTCGGCAACGAATTCAAGATGTTAAAAGTAGACAGTGCCGGCCGCAGAACACCGTCTGCAGACTAGACTCTGGACCCCTGGCGGCGAGACCACGTGGGTGGGGGCCCCGCGAGACCCCAGGCGCACCCCCACCCCCAAGCCCGTGGGGCGTGACGGGCGGCGCGGTGACGCCCGCGTGCGCGCACCTCCCGGAGGCTGCCGCAGACCTGCAGCGCGCGGTCCACGTACTCCTTGGCCTTGTCGTGGCGGCCCACGAGCCAGAGGAAGAGGCCGGCGTAGTACAGGGCCGGCCCGCCGGCCGCCTTGCGCATCTCCTTCAGGCTGCTCTCCAGCTCCCGGACGGCTTCTTGGTCTGCGAATCCGAGACGAGGAAGAGCGGGAGTGGGGGGAGCGGGGAGGCACCGAGGGCCCGGGGACCTGCCTCTGGCCGCGCTGAGGCCCCTTTAAACACGACGGAGAGGACTCGGGGCCGGAGCTGGAACCGGGAGCGGTGGGCGCCTGCCCTTGGGGTTGCTCAGATGTGCCTCTTCTCTGTGCCCAGCAGCCGGCTGAGCAGACAGACCAAACCAAATCGCGCCCCCCCAGCCCCCCAGGCCCCCCGTCTGTCCTGGGAGGGGAAACAGCTGTTTGTAGTGTCTTGGGATCTTTCCCTGGCTCTAGGGAGCGGGACATTACGGGTGGAATTATTCACGTCAACCCGATCTGTCTCGTCAAGGTCCTGGCACAGGAAAGCAGGGTGCCTTCCCAACTCTTGGGATCTGGAAGGAGGACCCTCCCCCTGCCACCCTCTCTGCGCCTGGCTTCCACTCAGTCGGCCCTGGGTCTTCCTCAAGGCCCCGGGGGGAGGGAGTGGAAGCCGCTCCCCACGGGCCAACAACAGGTGCCGTCAGGGCGCCAACAGCCCTTGGCGGGCGACACCTCAGGGGCGAGGCCGTGGGCACGGCCGCACTCACCGACGGTCTCGCAGCGCTTGTGAGCATAAATGAGGGCCAAGACGGAGCACAGGGACACGTCTGGGTGGTTCCGGATGCTCTCCAGGTGGCTGATGGCGTCCTGGATGCGCTCTGCAAAGAAGGGCCCAGGTGCTTATGCTCCTGGGCCCCAGGCCCCGCGGTCGGTGGGGGGGGCTCTGTGGCAGATGCAGGGGGACCCTTTTCGGGGCTGACCCAGGACTTGGCACCACCTGGCTTCAGCCAGAATCATTGGACTAACTGGTCCCAAACGTCCCCGGTGGCCCAGGTTCCCTGAAGAGGCCACGGGCACCAGGGTCCAGGCAGGAGGGCTGGGAGCTAAGCTGAACCTGGGAGTACTCGCAGGCTGGGATTTGGGGCTGGGGGTCCCCTCCTAAGCGTGACCTCAGGGCACTCCCAGCTGAGCCACAGACTACATGTCCCCCTCGGTGTCCCCGGAGGCTGGCCCCTAGCTCAGACCACCTTGTGAACAGTGGGGAGTGAGCACCTGCATGAGGCTCCTCTGCCCTCGGCTCCTGGCCACACCTACCACTTCTTTCCCTGCATCACCAGCTCGGCAGTTTCCGAGCCGGGATTGGTCCAGCCGCGTCTCCCCACCACGCCCACCCCATTCCACCTCATTTTCCAGACAGGGAAACTGAGGGGCAGAGAGCACGGGTGGGGAGCTCTCTGATGCCCAAAAGTCAGCTAGGTAAGGATCACACAGCCACATGTGGACTGACCGGGGCATCTAGCTACTGAGTGTAGCTTTCCAGGGCAACATGCCTGGGGGGGAAGGAGGTACCCAGGCCGAGCCAGAGTGTCTGTGCCCGGCTGGTGCCCGAGGTCAGGAGGCCACGCTGCCAAGTCCTTACCCTCTCTGAGGATCCCGTAGGTTTTAAAGAACTGCAGTACAGGGTCATGGCCGAACTTGTCCAGGCCCAGGGCCGCAGCCTGCTGCACGTGGCGGAAGTACTGCTCCCGGCTGTAGTAAACGATCCCGGCCTGCAGGGAGGAGCACACGCTTGCAGGAGCCCTTCTCCGGCCCGTTCTGACCCGCTTTCTCCCCTGGTCCCCTCCTCCGTTCCGCACAAGCAAGAGAGAGGATACTGAGACTTCGTTCTGCTCCCCACCAGCCCCAGGAGCAGCTCCACGCTGGTCCCTAGAGTCCCTAGCGAGGAGTTTGGAGGTGTGTGTGGATTATCCACAGACTATGGCTCAGCGTGAGGGAGAATTCAACTTAGGCTTTGTCTCAGGAAGGGAACGAGGGGAAGGGAGGGGCTCATGGTAAGAACAGTGACCCGGCTGGTTAGACTCGGGAGTCATTGTGGATTAACCGCCTATCGGGAACTGTATCAAGAGCTCTCCATCCTATGGGTTATTCTCTCCGTACCCTTCACGGTTAAAGAAGCTACAGCCCATGGAGAGTGAGGCCTCACAAAGGTCGTGCAGCCCCAGGGGCCGAGACTCCAAAGTGAAGCCTCGCTTCCCCTAAAGGCTGCGGGCACGGGGGTTGGGGAGAGACGTGCTGGGCCCAGACGCCACCGTCGGGGTAACAGGCAGCAGCTGGAATGGGTTGGAGCGGGAGAAGGGGTGTGTTCATGGTGTGTGTGGGCGGGGGCTGTTGCGGGGCCTGGGGGAGACGGTGGCGGTCCTGGCCGAGGGCATAAAAGCAGCGGGCGAGGTCAGGACCCAGGTAGGAGCGACCTGAGGCGGATTATGGTTAAGGCCGCAGCATCGAGCAGCGGTGCCGGCCCCGGAGATGGGGCCGCGGAGGAGGCAGGGAGGGGGCAGGACGGCGAGACGACCGACGTGGGTTTTGGGTACGTTGGTCTGGGGGCACTGGAGGGCAGGGCCGGGTGGGGACGCCGGCCTGGGGCTCAGCGTGCAGAGGAAACAGATGCCCTCGGCAGGCGCAGCGGGGCAGAGGCTGGCGGGTCCTTCGTCAGCGGCCGAGGGCGGGCAGCGACGGCGGGTGAAGGGTGGCCGGGGGCAGCCGCGCGCGGGGGCCGCGGGGCGGAGGCCGGGCGCCCCGAAGGGAAAGGCAGGGCAGCGCCCGGGCCACGCACCATAAGGGAGGAGTCGCCGGCGCTCATCTCCGGCGCCCGCGGCTCCGAGTCCGGGTCTGGGGGCGCCGCGCCGAGCCGGGGTCCGGACACAGGGTCCCGGGCGCGCCTCTCGCGGCCGGAAGTTGGGGGCGCGCGTCCTTGGCAGCGGAGGGGGCGGGCCGGTTGCTAAGGGCGTCAGAATCCGGGGCGGGCGGGGCGGGCGGGGCGGGCGGCCACGTGACAAGGCCGGGCAATCGAGCGCCGAGACGGCCGGGGCGCGTGCGCGGCGCGGGGTCGGGCTGCGCGGTGGGCGCCGCCGCCATGGGCCTGGGCGCCAGCGCCGAGCCGCCGGCGGGCGGTGCCGAGGGCTTCCACCTGCACGGGGTGAGTCGCCCGCGCGGCGCCGGGGACCTTGGCTGGGCTGTGGCTCCCCCGGGGCGGCCCCCTGCCGGCCCCCGCCTGGCTGCGGCCGCGGTCGGCCCGGCGCCCGCCCGGAGGGCCAGCCCAGCAGGAAGCGGGAGCGTTTCCGGGAGGGGCCGCCCCGGAACGGCCCTTGGCGCGGGTGAAGACCGCGCGGGTTCGGCGGTTCAAGTTCGCGGTCGCCTCCGTGCTGGGCCCCGGGTGGGGGGCGGGGAGCCAGCGACGCCGAGGCGCCAGCCCGCCGCCCTCGGTCCAGGGGGCCGCCGTCGTGGGGTCCACGGGCCTCGGGTCGGGGGCTCGAGGGGCCGTGCGACCCAGCCCGGGGCAGCCGGGAGAAGGCGCAGAGGGCGGGGGCGCCTGGCAGCAGCGGGCGCCTCGGGTGCAACCCGCGGAGACGCGCTGCGGAGAAAGTCGTCCTGGCGCCGCGACCAGGAGGTTCTGGCAAAGTGAAGACGGGGGGGGGGGGGGGGGGGGGGGGGGTTCCTAGAGTCTGGGGGTGAGGAGAGGGGCCAGCGGGCAGATGGGCAGGTGGGGTGGCCGTGTGTACGCGGAGCTCCGACCCCGGAGCTCAGCGGGCAAAGGCCCGCGGACGGATGCAGGGCTGAGCGCGCGGGCAGGCGGGCCGCCTCGGTGAGGCGTCCGGCGGGTGGGAGGCTCTGTCCAGTGCAGGAGCGCCGGGCGCGGGCAGGGCGCCGGGATTCCGCGCTGCTGATGGGCCCCCGTCTGGCACCGCGGGAGGCACCCTGCAGGCAAGGTGCACAGTGGGATCCGTCCAGGGGAGTTCCGCAGCGGGTTGACGGAAGGCGAAGGAATTGAGGGTTTGGCAAGAGGGAGGGGTGGGGCGATGGGGGCACTGAAGACCGGAGGGGCCTGGAGGGGGCAAGCATTGGGGGTCTTCCATTCCCAGAAGCGGATACTTTCGGGCACCTGCTCCGGCAGGCAGGGTTGTGGGTGCCAGAGAGAACGCAGGGGCAGAACGGACATTGTCCCTCCTGGCATGGAGCGCACGTTTGGGAGGAGGCGGACAGACGAAATAGACGTAGGCCGTAGGTGGGGAGAAGAGGAAAGCAGAGGAAGTGAGCGCCGGGTCAGGATGAGCCTCTCGCCGAAATGCCTGGGAAGGAAGGAGGGGAAGAACATTGTGGGCAGAGGGAGGCCCCGAGGTGGGCCGTGCTTGTGTTGAGGAAGACGGGAGGTGAGGCTGGTGTGCGTAGACAGGGCGGCCCGTGCAAGGGGGACGGCGGTGAAGGATGCGGCCAGGCATGCATGCTGTCCTGGCAGCACCGAGCCGGACGCGGGGCTCGAGCTCACGAACCGTGAGATCATGACCTGAGCCGGAGTCTGATGCTTAACCGACTGAACCACCCAGGCGCCCCTTTACTAACGTTTTAAAAAACGGAGGACACGCGTGCTGCCCTCTGTCAGTGCCAGCATCCTCGCCATGTGCCAGGCGTGTTGGAGAAGTCCTTGCGGCCACACCCCCTCCCCGCAAGCTTGGAGCCCCTCAGGGCCCCCCAGGCAATGGTTGTTACAGTGTGCGGGGGGCTTTTCCTCGTGGGTAAGTTGGTGTGAGTATAAGGGTTAAATGCAAGGCAGAGCCCTGGCACCCAGCCAGTCCTCAGCAAGGGTGTCACTGTTGGTTGGCTACGTTAGACCCCTGCTGGGGAACACAGTGGAGAGTGAACACAGGCTCACCGGGTGGGGTGGGGTGGGGTGGGGGTGTTGAGAGACACCCCCCACCCTGAGCATGGGACAGAGAGCAGCGCTTGCTGCTGGAGTGGGGGTGTGGGAGCGGGTGAGGGCAAAGTCCCGGCGAGGGCGGTGGAGTACGGCCAAGGTCACGGCCCGAGGCTGGGTACAGGTGCAGGGGGTAGGTGGGAGAGGGCGGGGCCGGGGGTTGGAGGCCCGAGCCTCTGGACCCCACAGTGATGGAGGGCAGCGGGCAGCTGGGGGCACTGGTCTCGGGAGCAGGGGCCTTACTGGAGGGGCGGGGTGGCCTGGAAGTGGTCCTGAGCAGGGAGGAGCACCCCCTCACACGTGTCCCTGATAACCGTCCTGTGGCTTTCATGAGACCCCTTGTGGCAGCGCGCCCATGAGGGGAGACTGGCGGGGCCAGGACCCCCTGGTCGCGGGCCAGCTGGGATTGGAGCCAGGTCCCTGAGCTCACCGTCAGGGGAAGTCATGGCAGCTTCGGGAGACGGTGACACCGCCGGGCGGGGTCCCAGGTCCAGGGGCTCAGTGTGAGCCTCCCTCAGCCGGGGGCGTCCACGGCTCTGGGGCTCGTGGGTGGCAGAGGCCACAGGGCCTTTCCGTGCGGAGGCCGTGGAGCCCAGTGTCCTCTGGGCAGCAGGGCATCAGGTGCCCAGGGCCCAAGGCCCAAGGCCTGTGGGAGGGGTGCGGGTGTGGGGCGCACCGCGGGGTCCAGCCCTGGGCATAAGGGCTGCATTGTTTGAGCCGGCTGTAAATGGGGCCTTTGAGATGATTTCTACCCCCGCGGGGACGCTGTGTGTTTGGAGACTGTGCGGGCAGGGCCCCTGGGTGAGGAGTGGCTCCCCGGGGAGCTTGTAGTGGGGAAGAGACCGCGAGGCCAGGCGCCCTGCTCTGGCTCAGCCCTGGAGTCAGTCCCTGGGTCTGCTTCCCTCCCCCACGCTCCCCAGCAGCTCCCACGCCTGCCCAGCTGATCATGGGTCTGTCACCACAGGGTCTGGGGCCCTCGGGGATCCGGCCACAGGCGGCCTTCCCCCTGTCTGTCTGTCTGAGCCCAGCCCTGGGTCCATCTGTCCTGGGACCCTCCCCTCCTGTCCACATTGAAACCTTCCCGGTAAACCCTCTGGCTTCCCGGTCCCCGGTGCCTCCCTGTCTCTGAAGCTACTAGAAGCCCAGGGCTGCCCGGGCTCCCCCGTGGGGCGTCTCTGGAACACCATGCGTGTGTGCATCGTGACCAGACAAGAGCCATTTCCTAGAGAGGAAAGTCTGTGCCCAGGAAGGTAGCAAGACGGGGTGGCGTTGCCGGGGCCACGCCCACAGTGCAGTGCATGCGTCCTCGCTGGGACACGGGAGGTGGTGGCGGCCGCCGGCCGTCTCTGAGATGGGGGGCTGGGGCTCTCCGGGCGAGTCACGGAGGCGGTGTGCTGACCGGCCGCTGCCGTGGGACAGGTGCAGGAGAACTCGCCCGCCCAGCAGGCCGGCCTGGAGCCCTACTTTGACTTCATCATCACCATCGGGCACTCGAGGCTGGTGAGGCTCCCCGGCGCTCCGTCTGTCTGCCTTGCGCGTGCGTGCGCGTGTGTGTGTGTGTGTGTGTGTGTGTGTGTGTGTGTGTCCTGTCCCACAGCTGGCCCCGTCTTGCTCTGCCTCCCTGCTCTCCTGGAGGGAGGCCCTCCCACCTCCCTTCTCCAGCCCTGTGCTCGGCCTGACTCTTGGAGCCGTCTTTCTTTCGGGGCCCGGGAGGTGCGGAGGCTCCGGCCGGGGGGCGGCTTGGAGAGGGCAGCCGTGCCATGCTGCGGTTTCCCAGGGGCTGCCGGAGGCGGGCGTGGTGGTGCCTGGGGCGGTGGGGGCCTCCCGCGCCCACGCCAGGTCCCGCTGGGGCAGCAGCTGGCCGCCCAGGCCCTCCCCTGTCTCAGACCCGGACCAGGCTGAGGGGCCCCGGGGTGGGGGGGTGGGCTTGGAGTCAGCCCCCCTGCCCCCGCAGAACAAGGAGAACGGCAAGCTGAAGGCCCTGCTGAAGGCCAACGTGGAGAAGCCCGTGAAGCTGGAGGTGTTCAGCACGAAGACCATGAAGGTGCGCGAGGTGGAGGTGGTGCCCAGCAACATGTGGGGCGGCCAGGGCCTGCTGGGCGCCAGCGTGCGCTTCTGCAGCTTCCGCAGGGCCAGCGAGCACGTGTGGCACGTGCTGGTGAGTGGGCACCGGGCGTGGGGGGCGTGGGGGAGCGGCTGGGAGAGGCCGGCAGCCAGTGCTGCCGTTAGAGGGGTCCCCGAGGTCGGGTCCCGTCACCGGAACTGCGCGCCCGCTTGTCAGCCGGGTGGCGCTGGGCACACTCTTCCCCCAGACCTTGCTTTCTTCTTGCCAGAGGTGGGCTCCGCCTCCTGCAGGGGTGGTGTCCTGCCAGGAGGCTGTCGCTGCCAGTCCTCAGAGTGGCCCCTCTGGTCCCTCTAGGGTGCCTCCCTGGCAGGGCCCCCGGGCACACCTTTGGGCCTGGGGGCTGGGTCTTCAGCAGTCTCAGTGACTGAGCTGTCACAGATGTCGCTGCTAGTGCCTGTGCAGGGGCGCATGCAACATGCGTGTTCACCAGCGGGGCCCACATCCCCGAAGGCTCCTGGCCGGCCGTGGGCCGCTAGGGTGTCTAGCCCTTCTGCGGCTTACTGGCCTCTCCTGGGACACTTTCACCCCCAGCCTGTCCAGGGCCGCAGCGGGGCCGGGATGCAATCCCCTTGCGCCTCTCCGGGGAGACTGGGAAGAGTAGAGTTTCCCCAAGGGAGGCAGTAATGCTGGCCCCAGCTCTGCTCACCGCCCCCAGGCCCCTCCTCCCCCGGGCCCCTCCTCCCCCAGGCCCCTCCCACCGGCGTCCCCTCCACCCCCAGCCCTCTGCACCCCCAGCCTCCTCTGCCCCCAGGCCCCTCCACAGGGTCTCCCGCCAGATGACCCCCACGGGAACAGCTGTGCGGTTGGGCATCTACTGCGGGCCTTTGTGTGCTTTTCATTCTTTACGTATATTCCATTTTTAACCTTCTCGGCCACCCTGAGGCTGGCTGTGAGGAAGTACTGTATACCGACGCTGAGGGGTTAGGAGTTCGTCCACAGCCCCTGGAGCCCGAGCGCGGAGCCCAGGGCTGTGAGCGGCGCCTCGGTGCTGCCCTCTGCTGGGCAGCCTGCGGGAATTAGGGGTGGGGTAGGAGAGCAGGGGCTTGAGGTTCGCCTGGCCTGGGGACAGAGGACAGGGTCCTCCTGAGTACCTGGAGAGGCCCCTGCATCCCCCTCCCCCCGCTCCAGGAGCATGAGGGGCTTGGTGATTCTTTCCCCAGGAAGTGGAGCCCTCCTCACCCGCCTCGCTCGCCGGCCTGCGCCCCTACACTGACTACGTGGTTGGCTCGGACCAGATCCTCCAGGAGGTGAGCAGGACTTGTCCCTGAGCAGGGTGCGGGGATGGGTGCCGGCCGCGCGTGGGCCTCGTTTGTGGGGCCTCCGACTCCGGGGCAGGGAGTGGGGCTCAGGCGCTGTTCTTTCCTAGTCCGAGGACTTCTTCACGCTCATCGAGTCCCATGAGGGGAAGCCCTTGAAGCTGATGGTTTACAACTGCGAGTCCGACTCCTGCCGGGAGGTGACTGTAACGCCCAACGCGGCCTGGGGTGGAGAGGGCAGGTACTTGCTCCTTCGGAGGGCTGCGGGGCGGGGGCGTCGGAGCCCTGGCCGGACCTGGCCCCCCGCCGTGGCCCAGAATCCCACGCCGTGGGGGAGGGGGGTAGAGGCTGAGCTCCGGGCGCTGAGCTCCTGGGATGAGCCGCTGTCCGGGAGGCTCCCAGTCCGCCGTCTGCTGCCGGTCGCGGGTGGGGCTGGCGGACCCAGGACGGGCTAGGGGACAACCCCTCGGGTTGAACGTTTCTGGACTTTGGCAGCTTGGGGTGTGGCATCGGCTACGGGTACCTGCACCGGATCCCAACGCAGCCCGCCAGCGCGCACAGGAGGCCGCCTGGCGCCCCGACCCCCGACGCTGTCCCTCCGGGCTTCCCCGCCCCGCCTGGCCCAGAGATGGGGGGCCCGGAGACGGCGGTCCCCAGGCAGGGTGACTACACGGAGGTGCGTGCGGGGCATCTGGGACGGGGGGAAGAGGTCTCTAGCCACCGGGCACCCATTGTAGGGCCCTAGGGAGGACCTCTCGCTTCTGGGACCCAGCGGGGACAGTGAAGCCGCTTTGGTTCTCCTGCCACTGGGGTCTGGAGGGGATGGTAACAGCAGGGCACTGCTTGTCACTTTCATTTGAAACTGAGGCTCAGGGGGCATAGCCGTGTACTGGGCCTCGTCGGGTCGGGCTGGCTGGCCTAGTCCACGGCGGGGGCGCTGGGCCGCCATCGTGGCTGCTTTACGTGGAGGTGAGGGGAAGAGTCACCGAGGGCCTTTGGTGCTGGGCTGGTGCTGGGGTCTGTACCGGGGGGCATGCTGGGAGCTGAGCGAAGGCCTGGTGGCCTCGTCCGCCAGCCCCTCGGGCCGGGCCGCAGGGCTGCAGATCGGCTGGACAGGGACTGGGAAGGGCGGGGTCACGAGGCCGTGGACTCCTGCGAGCAGAGCTGTGGTTCCGCGGGGAGCGTGGCCTGGGGGTTGGGGTGGCCGCGCGTGGCGCGTCTTGAGTGCCCCGCCCCCTCCCTCTTGTGCCCCGGCCCCACTAGGCCGTGCTGCAGGCGCCCGGCCCCTCGGAGGAGGAGCAGCTTTCTGAGCCCGGGAGCCCCTGCCGGGCCGCTGCAGACCGGGGGGCACTGGCTCGGCCCACGGAGGCCCCTCTTCAGCCCCCGCCTCCGGTGCGGCGCGTCATGGACCCAGGTAGCCGGCAGGCCCGGGAGGGGAGGCTCGGTGGCGCCGGCGTTAGTGAGGCTTTCCCGAAGGTGCCAACCTTCCCGACCTGTCGGGCCCTCCTGTGTCCCGTATGTCAGGGTGGTCGCGCATGAGCCCGCAGGGCAGGGTCGGGGCTCCCGTCCCGGACTCCTTTCTCTCCGCGGCAGCGGGGACCACTTGGGCCTGGGTGGGGCCCCCACGGGCTGAGGAGACTACAGTCAGGCCGGCCCGGTGCCCCAGGGCACTGGGTTTTGTGCCGGGAGGGACTCACGCCCCGCTCCCTAGGCTTCCTGGACGTGGCGGGCCTCTCCCTGTTGGACAACAGCAGTGCCAGCCTGCAGCCCAGCCTGCCCGCCTGCACGGAGCTCACGCCCACGGCGCTGGCAGCCCCCGGGCCCGGGGACGGGTACCCCAGCGGCGGCGCTCACGAGCGTGGCGGTGAGTGGCCCGGCCTGCGCAGTTGTCCGGGAAGGAGCCTGGGCCTCCGGGTGGCTGCCCTGGGTCCCTCGGCTGGGCTGGAGGCGGGCTTCGGGGTGAATCGCAGCCGCGTCCAGGTGTCTGTGCACCAGAGTCCCCCTCCCGCAGCGGCACCTGGGGCGGGGGTCAGTGCAGGGCCCGGCCCGGCTCCCGCCGCCTCCTGAGCCCCGCGCCCTACGTTTCAGGCGAGGCCACGTGGTCCGGGTCAGAGTCTGAGGTCTCCTTCCCGGACAGCCCAGGCACCCAGGCCCCGCAGGGCGCCCTGCCGCAGCTGACCCTTCCCGACAGCCTCGCGTCTGCCACCGCGCCGGAGGACGGGCTGTCCGCGGAGCTGCTCGAAGCGCAGGCTGAGGACGAGCCTGCGAGCCTGGAGAGCCTGGGTCCGGGGGCGCAGGCCCAGCTGTCCGCCCCGGAGTAGCGCCCCAGGCTGTGACGGCCTAGAGCTGGGGCCATAGCTGCGGCCACACTGCAGCCCCTTCGCCAGCCCCCGCCCCACGCGTCCGGCTTCCTAGGCCGCAGCCCCCGGCGACGTGCAGGGACCTCCGCGGGCACGGGCTCGGGACCCTCAGACCCAGCTGGTCTCCGGGAGGGGCCGTCTCAGCACTAACTCTGCTGCGGGGAGTCGGGCACCTGCGAGTCTCCCACCAGCCCCCCTGGGGTGGGGCAGAGCGAGCGGGTGGCCGGAGGCGGGTGCCGCCCAGGAGGCCGCAGCGGGCAGATGGGGTGAAGGGGGAAGGGCTCGCTGTGCGGCGCCTCCCGACACCCCAGCGCCCGCCTGGCGGCGCCCGCACGGCTCCGCTAGCCCAGCGTGTCCCGGGAGGCGGCCCCGGGACGGTCTCTGGTCAGCGCCCTCGCCCCCGTGCCGCCCGGCTCAGGCGGCTCACGACCTGCGCCCGTCACAGCCGGGGGCCAGAAGCCTGAACTCGCCCAGCTCCCCTGGGAGAGGGGGTGGGGAATTCTAGGCCTTTTGGCGGAGATGCCCTTGATTCTGGATCACGAGGCTTCTCTCCCCGGGCTGCCCCCCACAGACCGGCGGTGACTGCCGCCAGCTCCCCAGCTTCTGCAAACCCCTCTTCTAAACGGACAGGGCACTTGTCAGCCCCAGTGGTGAATAAAAGTTACACGTTTAAGTTCACCATCCTAAGCAGACTCTCAAAGCTGGTGCTGACGACACCGCTGCCACCGAGGGGGACGGAGGGGCCTGGACAGGCGTGGGTGGGGGCCGCTCCCTTCCTCCCACAGAGCGGCAGGAGGCCATTCCCTCCGCCTCCCCTCCACCTCCGGTGCCCTGCTCCCTGCTCACCTCCCCCAGGCAGGGGAGGGTCCCCCCAACCCCCCCACCCACGGGCAGACCCTCCCCTCCACCAAGTCCTTTCCTGACTTGCCTTGGGCCCCTCCCTCGCTCCCAGCTGCCGCCCAGGTGAGGGTCCCGTTTGCCGCTTGTAGTGTCCGCACTCCACAGGGCATCCGCGGGACGGGCTGTGCTCCGGGCGGCACAGAGCAAGTGCACGGAGGGAGGACCCCCCGGGGAGCCGACGCCTGAAACTCCCTGCGCCGTGTCCCACGCCAGCGCCCCCCCCCCCCCCCCCCCCCCCCCGGGGAGCAGAGCCGACGCCACAGGGCTGTCCTGACGCCAGCTTCCGGCCTGCAGCGGGTAGCGCCCTTCACCTCGGAGCCGGGGCTCTTCCCTCCCTCTTCCACACTCCCCTCAGACAGGGCGGTAAAAGGGGTACTGACTCTAATTACTGCCAGGATAAACACGGAACCAGAAGATTCTCTGTAATCTGCTACGAAAGAGAGCGACAAGTGAAAGAAATAAATGCATACTCCACGTTGAAACATTTTAACAAAAACCTTTATTCTATACAACCATGAAATACAGAGTTTTACCCTTTGGGCACTGCAGGCAGTCAGATTCTCTGGAAACTATTACTGGTTTGGCTGGAAAGAAAAGTAGAAGCATGCCGAGGGTCAGATGGGTGACAGGAAGGGAGTGTGGCTGCCCCCAAGCCGCAACTCCCGGGGCAAAAAGGCCCAGGAGACCCCGTTCTGTGGCCGAGGGCCCTTCCCGCGCACACAGCTGGGGGCTGCGAAGTGAGCTGTGGGGTCTGTCGTCGTGTGTTTGTCATTAATTCACAACTATTGCTAAAAAATGTGCACCAAAAGTGCACTGTTGTGTCCAACAGATAGAAAGGAGTTTAAAACAGCCGGTGGCTCTCTGGTGACGGAGGGGGACCCCCTGGGAACGTGGCACGTCTCTCTCCCAAGTGCTGGAGGCAGCGAGCCGCCCACGTTGCAGGCCAAGCAGCCAGCCGTGAGGGAGCCCGGTCTACACGCGCAGAGCAGGGGATCTGCTAGGGGGTCTGGCCCCGGCCCCCCGGCGGCCCCAGCCCAGCCTGGTCCCCGCCCTCCCGGCCCTGCTGCCCGGGGCCTGAGCACACACCGGGGGTGGGGGGGTGGGGGGGGTGGAGCGACCGGACCCGAATAAACTGCCCTCCGAAGGCACTTGTGCTTCTGGCTTCATACGGGAGGCGCGTCTTCTGTAGTTTTGGGGGGTGGACCTTTGTTCTGCTCTGAATACACACGACCCCAGGGAGGATCTGAAGCGGTTCTTCTGCCAAAAGTTGAGGTGCTGGTCCCCGGTAAGTGACATTCTGCACAAGACGGCAAGGGCTCTACGAAAGCCTTAGATGGTCAGCAAGCAGTGCGGGAAGTCCGGACACGGGCGCCACGCCGCCGCCCTGCACACAACCCTGCGGGAGCGGGCGCGTGTGCTCCGGGCGGCAGTCCCGCCGCAGCTCGCCGGGACCTGACCGCGGGCGCTCCAGGCAGCGCTGAACCGAAGCTAAATCTCACCAGGGCCTCATGGTTTGATGACGTCACGCCGGTCACCCAGGGCGGAGCCTGTGGCATCCCCTGGCTTCTGCCCATAAACAAAACTGGGCGCGGGGGGGGGGGGCGAGCTGCACCCCACCGTGGCCCGCGGCGCCCCTGGGCGCCCTCCAGGCTGGCAGTCCGGGGCTGCGGTCCGGCGCCCGGAATTTCTAGTCTTCCTAAAAGAACGCATCTGAGATGCAGCAGTGGAACAAGCCCAGGAAGGAGAATTTATTTTGAAACGGGCTGGCTCTTGAACTGTACAGCAGCCGGTCCCTGGGAAAAATAACTGTCTGAAATGTGAGAACATTTGTTGTGTGTGTTTAATGACCAACCTGGGAAAAGCCTTCCCAGGAGCCGCACGGATGGAATGTACTCGGAGAAGCCACAGAGCGTGCAGGTGTGGAGTCGAAGCACAGCGACGGACGCGTCTCTAACAAGTGCTAACAAAGACCGGGTCCTTCGGAGCACGAGGGGCGAGTCTGGGGGGGCCTGCACCCGCCTCTGTGCATCTCACAAGACACAGTCCGCGGGGGGTGGGGGGGGCTCTGTGCTCGCTCTGCCTCCCCGGGGACGGCTTAATCTACACATGGAAACGGGGTTCTATATTACATCTCGATTAGTCGCTTCAACTGAAGGAGTCTCGGTCCCTACCGTCGGCCGGCACAAGTCTGCTCCCGCTGGGGCTCGGTGGGCTTCCTGGGACTACTCTCGGGGCCACGGAGGAGGGTCGGTTCTCGAACAGCCAGGAGCACTCGCCCGCCCTCACGTGGACTTCTGGCGGTAATGGAGGGTGAGGTCGCCGCCGCTCTTCCAGATGAAGTGCTTCACCGTCCGGAGGTCCATGTTTGGATCCAAAACCTGAGGGCAACACGACACGTAACAGAAAACGTCGAAGCCTCTGCTACGTGGTATCTAAGACCCCTGTCGTGAACTCGGCCTCCTCCGGTGACCCAGCCTGTCCCCCTCGTCCCGCCTGCTGGCCCGCTCCCGCCCACACAAACTGGCCCCGGGAGACGCACAGTCCCTGTGGCCGGGCCAGAAACCCCCCGTCCAGCCGCTTCTCCCAGGGAAGCCTGGAGTGCAGCCCCCATCCGCCCCTCCGGCACCCCCCCGCCCACCTCCACCCGCCCACCCTCGACCAGCGCCCACCCTTCCCGGCACCGCCCCCCCGACCCCCCCCCCGCCCACCCTCCCCAGCACCCCCCCGCCCCCCCTCGACCAGCGCCCACCCTCCCCGGCACCCCCCCCCGCCCACCCTCGACCCACCCACCCTCGACCAGCGCCCACCCTCCCCGGGCCCCCTCCTCCACCAGCAGGGCATTTCTCATCAGGAATAGGAACAAAGCCGCCGGCACATCCACACTTAAAATCTCTGCGTCCTTTTCCGGAGAGCCCCCTGGGGTAAACAGAAGCTTCAGGATGGGGCGAAGAGCCCCTCGGAGGGGCCTCAGCAGCAGCTGGCGGGGACGCAGCACTCCTGAGAGGCCCCCAGAGGCAGCTGGGTGGGAGCCGCAGCCACCCCGCCCGCGACTCTGGGCGCCCGTGTGACCGCGCACCTGGTCCTGGCACAGGAGTTCGATCTTCTCCTCGGCCAGCACGGCAATCTCCTCCTCCTTCTCCGGTTCTCCTGGCTTCTCGTTATTAGAAGAGCTAGTGGTTTGCGACTCATTATCCAAGTTGATGATTTTCTCATAAACGTGTTCCATTACTTTCCGGACCTGGAGCATGTCGCTAGCAGAGAGTCTGTCTCTGTCAAACGCAAGGGCAGACTGTGACGTCAGGACATCACTGGGCGCTGTCCTGCGTGTCGTCTGCCGGGCACACCGCACGCCGCAGACACAGCACCAATCGCGTTTTCAGCCGTTGCCTTGCGCTGTTTCTGGAACTGCCACCGTGTTCCCGCGTGCCCCCCCCACCACACAGGTGACGCGCCCCTGAGACGAAACACGTCCCGGAGACCCATGTGCACATACAGAACAGCCTTCCGGGTTTTATTCCGAGAGGCTTTCCCAGCGCACGCGCAGCCTAAACGCCCCTGGGAGGGAGGCGGCCCCGCGTGACTATCAGGCTCCAGCGCCCTTGACGCTCATTTCCCCGGTGGCTCTCAGCCCTGCAGCCAAGACCTCGCGCCTGAATTCCAGGCCGAGCCCAAAGCTCGCTGGCTTGGGCGTCCCGCAGGCACCTCAGACTCTACCGTGCCCAACACCAGATTCATCAGCCGCCTCACTCCCAAGCCTACTTCCGTACTGCCGTCCGTCAACCCAAGCAGCTCAGGCTCAAACTCTGAGAGCCACCTTGAACTTCAGTCATGAGAAGTGATATCTAAGGCTTGCTTTAAAATAATCCAGCGTGGGGGCGCCTGGGGGGCTCAGTCGGTTAAGCATCACACTTCGGCTCAGGTCATGATCTTGCTATTTGTGAGTTTGAGCCCCGTGTCGGGCTCTGTGCTGACAGCTCAGAGCCTGGAGCTGCTTCAGATTCTGTGTCTCCCTCTCTGTCTGCCCTTTCCCGCTCGCTCTGTCTCTCTCAAAAATAAATTAAAAATATTAATAAAAATAAAATAATCCGGGGTGTGTGTGTAGGTGAGTGGGAGGGAGGGAAGGTAGAAAAGCAGCAGAATGTTCAGATATGTGTCAAAAACTCTGAAGCTGTCTGACAGGATAATGGGGTTCATTCTAATCTTTTCGTATATGTCTGGAAATTTCCATAACAAAAGGTTTTTAAGACTTGTTGAATATGTCTCTTTTGAAATTCTATCCATCCTTACATGTCACATGTCCAGCTCACATTCCATGTCCATCAAGAAGCCTTTCCAGAAAGCTCCCGCCCCAAGGCCATTCCTCTCTCCTACTCTCCTCATTCCCCAAGTATCTGTGAAAGCAGTCTTTATACACAACCTGTGTCCTAAACTATGCTGTGGCAAGAGACAGAATCCAAGTCTTACTTTTTTGAACATCCGTCGCCTACCACAGAGGTACTTGATAAATGGTATTTCAATATTATGAGACTCGCGTTAGATCTAGGATGTGCCTCCTTTGCTATAGAAGCAACCAGAAAGAATAAAAAGATCTCTGGCAATTAATTAGATCAGGCGTCACATGCCACCACATTTACTTACTTTTTTAAGGTTTTTGCTCCCGAAGATGCGTGAGGTTGGAGGTAGAAAGGAATTTTGTTGAATTTGGGCATATTTTTCTGAAATATTAAAAGTAAAAATAAAGGCGTAATCATTTCTATTAGCTGATGAATGAAAATGATGTCAATAAAAAACATGACTTACCAGTTAAGAGTTATTTTACAACTGAAATGGACTGCCTGCGACATTTATGTAAGCTCCCTCATCACCCAAAGCCCAGTGAAAATGCATCAGAAAAGTCTGATGTTCAGCTTTGTAAGAAACCGTAGGGAGGACCAAGGACACGTCAGCGGCAACGTGGAACTGCAGCGCGTGGCAGTTCACGTAACAACTCAAGGTACTAAGGGAACACGTTTTATTTGGTATTTAAATCAAAACCTCAGAGCCACATGGAAACACGGGGCCCCAACAGAAATTTCCGTGTCTGGAGTGAAACCCACAGCACCGCCTCTGGCAAAACCATGTGCCCGGGCTGGGGAGCCCGGCGTCCGGCTGGGGGCCCCCTCGGGCCCTGCACTTCTCTCCCTCTCACAGCGGGTCTGGGCTGCTAGTCGAGTGGAAATGCCACCCAGACACCAAGGTGTCTACCATGAGTCAACCACATACTCGGAGGAAGGATAAAGCTAACTGGTCTCTCTTCCCTGGGGATGAATCCCCCTCAGCCTCCACGTCACAGCCTGTCTGGATGCCTCCTCTCAGGAAGAGGCCTCAGGCTTCAAGTGGGCAGTGCGTCCAGAGCTCCACACTCAAAGGAAGTAGCGCTTACGGGAGCTCAGACTCAGAAAAGGGCACAGAATACCCATTGAGTGGTCACGCAGGCTTTAGGTTCTTGGAGGTATATCTGGACAGAAAACACATTTCCTGAAGGTTCTAGAGATTAACTCTTTTTTCATATGGCTTTAGGAACATACAAAACAGATCAACAGCACAGTCTAGAAACAGACCCTGTGCATGTAGGAATTCAGTACCTGAGAAAGCTAGCATTTCAAATTAGTAAGAAAAGGGCAGACGGTCCAGAAGCCTGTTTTGGCTATCCGTTTGGAGGGAGTCGACACCCTACCTCACGCCGAACAGCACAGAGTCTAACAGCCTACAGACCCAGATGTAAACCACCGTCACAGGCGTGCCAGCGGAGACCCAGCAGACGTGACACCAGAGCCATAAAGGTCAATCTGGTTACATAAAAATTCAAGCTTTCTGTGAAACTTCAACAACAGTCAAAGGGTCACTATTCAATATGAAGATATCCTATAAATCAGTAAGAAACACAGACTCCCCAGTAGAAAAATGAGTGAAGAATACAAAGAGGCAATTCACAGAAGGAGAAACACAAAGAGCCAATGCGAAAAGATGCCTAAGCTCAGGACAAACGGAAACTAACAAACCGCCATCAAAACGGTATGTTTGCCGTCTTTCAGCAAAGACTGGGAGAGCACAGTGCTGGGCAGTGTGGAAACACAGGCACGCCGGCCCTGGGGGTGCCTTCGGGGGGCAACCTGGCCGGGTCATCAAAATAAACGTGCAAACTCTGAGCCAGCAGTGCCACTTGTAGGAACGTGTCCTACGAAGTACACAGAGGTATGTGTACAAGGATGTTGGCTGAAGCACTGTCTGTGATAGAACACACTGGAAACGTCCATCCGCAGGGCACCGGGTGCTTAACGATGGCACATTTATACAAAGCCACACTACGTAATCATTAAAAAGGAACGACCCACATGATGTACAGACGGGAAAAGATGTCCAAGGTGTATTTTTAAGTGAAAAATTAAGCCAAGCCAAGTTGTAGAACAGAATGTGTAATAGATTTTGTGGAAAACAACGAACCGTGTGTGTTCACACGCAGAGGCACGCCCGCACACCCGGGGGACAACTGCTTGTGCGCGCAGAGGTCCTGAACGACGTGCACCGGCCTGCGGGCGGCTACCGCCTCCAGGGAGAAGGGCAGGGCGGCGGGGACAGGGGCGGAGTTTCCCTTTATCTGTGTACTTCCGGTAACAAGCATGTGCTGAGGATAACGAGATCCAGCAGACACACAAACACAAGTAGCTGCCAACTTCCGGCCTGGAGCTGCGGGGGCGGGGGGCACCGCCTGGCAGCCCGGGCTTAGCGGACATGCCGGCGGCAACGGCTACCGCGGGTCTTGACCGCCCACATGACTGGGAAAGGACATGAGGGTGCGGCAGGCGCAGAGGACACTTACGTCCACGGTGATGTCAATGACCCACTGGGGCACCGTCTCGTTAAGAAGCATCGACTCAGTCTCACCCCCGGAGTCTCGGCACAGCAGCCTAAACACAACCGACAGGCAGTCAGCGACGCAGGAAAAGCACCGATGTGAGTGCCCCCCATCAACAACCAGAAGAGGGTGGGGCCCTGCGGAGGTCACCGGGGACCACCCACCCGCAGGGGGCGGCTGGCGGCTGGGATGGCGGCTGGGATGGCCGCAGCCAGGCTCCCCGAGTGCGGGCGGAGCCGGTGCCGGGGCAGGGCCACTGCGGTCACCACACTCAGGAAACCACCGCAAAGGACGAGGGTTCTGAGCCCAAGACAACGGAAGGCCCTATAAGACTGCAGTGACCCCCGGGGCCTGGCGTGGGGCGACGCCCGTGAGCACCATGGTCCTCAGGGCCAGCGCGGCCCGTGACCCCCCCGAAGCTCTGAGCAGGGACTCTGGGGACCCCCACCCCGCTGTCACGCTGGCTTCGCCGAGAGAAAGGGAGAGGGTCCTGCAGAAGCCGCCGGGGAAGCTGCCTGAGTGCAAGGTGCCACCCGCAGCGCAACACGGAGGCTCAGCCCGCAGTGGGGACGCGGCCCAACAGCACCCGCCACGGAGCCATTGCCGACACGGAGCCATCGCCAGAGGCGGGAAGGCCTCTGGGCCCTGCACGCCCGTAAAGCGAGTGACAGTCTCTCATGTTTGGAGGCGCCTGGCCGGCTGGGTCGGTAGAGCAAGTGACTCTTGATCTCGCGGTTGTGAGCTTGATTGAGCCCGTTTGGTGGAGTGACTGCTTTAAAAATCAAATCTTAACCCCCCCACCCCCTAATGTACCGTGTTTGAATCAATACTCGTTAGCAAACGGGCAGGCTCCCTGGGCCTCCGTCCCCGCCCCCGTCCCTCCCCGTCCTGTCCCCGTACCTGAACAGTGTGCGCCCTCCGGCTTCACCGAAGATGACCGGGGTGTGGGGGGGGACTTGAAAGTACCCGTTTCCCTTCTGTACTCGGTTCTCCTGCTCCCCGTTTACTAGGAAAAGATGCAGAGTGTCAGCACCCAGGACTAGTGCTCAAAGCTCACCTTCTGTTTCTACGGGCTTTAAACACCGCGACGTTTTGAAAGGTAAAAGTCTGGTAAGTCAGCCGAGCAGATAAAGGTAAAAAACGAAGTTAAATTTCCACAAATAAGAAGGACCACAACGTGGGATGCGCCTCATGGGACATGACTGTAGCGTGAGAGAAGACACTGACGTCTGGGGTCTGAAAGGAGAGAACCACCCAGCTCAGCCGCAGGGGGGCCTGGGACAGCCTGCTGCAGGGGCGGTGCACTCTGTGCACAGGGGTGGGACGCCAAGGCCAGGAAAATCTCTCGGGCCAGAGAATAACTCATGTTTTAACGGCAGCCGTAGCTGACGGCAGAGGTGCTGGTGAAAAGAGGCCCAAGTCTCTCTGTGAGAGAGCCGTCTCTGCCGATTTCACTTCCCTGCGTCTGACGGCGTGCGGCGGAGCCCCACTGAGTGCGCGCGGCGGAGCCCCACTGAGTGCGCCTGGCTCACAAACACGTCGCCGGGACCCTGGAAGCACCATCACCCCTCACCCTGCCCGACAGCACGTTCAGACCCCGTCCCCCAGCACCAGCACCCCGATCTCAGGACACTCTATATGCTCCACCCACGGGGCTCTCTGCCCTTCCAGAACGTCAGCCCCTAAGGGGTGGAGTCCATGCCTGTTTATCTGTATCGGCCCCAGACCCCCGAGCTGCTCACGGAGCGGAACCTACACGGCTCTGGAGGGTCCACGGAGCGGATGCGGTGCACACACCACACGCGTGGGCCTGCCGCGGCCGGGCCGTGGGTGGGTGGGCCCCGCCTTCACTGTGGCGGCGGGTTCCCGACTCCTCCCCCTCCCACAGCCAAAGCCGGGCGAAGCGCAGACCCTGCTGTGAGTCTTTGGTCCGTCTACTTGGGCCTCGGAGGCCATTCTCCCGGTCATGTTGCAGGTGGAGACGGATGAGCTGAGGGCCGGGATGGGCAGGCCCGCGGCCACGCCACTAAGCACCAGAGCCCTCGCTAAACCGGCTGTTTCATCCTTCTGTGGAAAGATCTTTCCACTGAGTTTCTCTGGAATAGGACAATTCTGACTGGGAGGGGAGGGGGCCACGTGACACAAAACAAAAGCCACCACGGGTGGGGTCAGTGGCTTCTGTGACGGGGACATCAGAAGTCTGGCTTGCAGAGAAGCACAGGAGATTTAAACTCCGAGACTCATTATGGAGGAGTCAGTGGAACACAGGCCAGCAGAGGCCCTGGTCGTCACTGGGCACCAGATGTGGGCGATCTCCAGAGCCTTCCGAGGACGCAGCAGAGGAAGCCCTCGGCGGGCAGGGCGCAAGGGTGCTCCGCCGGCTGCAGTGACATATGAGCTGTGGACTTTTAAGTTTTTTTCTTCTCTTCATTCAATCAAACTGAATCAAACTTACAAACCCAAAATCATGCTCTCCTCTACTGCCCAGAGAGAGCCACCGCCATGCCTGTGGCACACACAGCTCCCAGTGTCCTCCGTGACGGATTCTTTACAAACACCCGTTCGCTCATCCTGACACCTGAGTTGACATTTGATTCTTAGAAACGTTTAGAGCCAAGATCAGGTAGATCATCAGACGAGGCAGCGCCTATGTTTCAGGCCAAGGTGAACTATGACTAGGCAAGGACGGAAAGGGCCTCCTGATGCAGCTAAGCCGCTAGCCCTGGAGAGAAACTGCTTCGGGAGAAGACCGCTAAGCTGCTTGCTTTCACGGAAAAGGTCACTTGAATGTACAGGTTTTCTTGAGCAGCTTCACTGGAAGTGCTCCTGGAATCTGGGTTAGGCTGCACGCTCTCTAACATGGGGAAGGGAGGGCGGTGAACTGGGCACATCACAAACATACGTTCTGTCACGATTCAGCAAATGCTTCTTAAATGTTTCTTAAGCATCCTTGGGATGACAAACACTCCAAGCAACTTACACTTCTGAGTAATTTTAAATCAATTATTCAGATATAAAAACACGAACCATGGTTGACTTCATTTTCCTCTTCATCCATTGGATTCACATGTGTTCTAGGCCAATATTCTAGGAGCGCCTGCAGTAAAAGTCCTCCTAAGTTCACTGCAAAAGAGTTAAAATGAAAAGACATGGAAAGGAGAATTATTAGTTTTAACCTAAAAACAGAGGGGAAGAAATAAAAATTGTTTCCACATATTCGGATGCTAAATTCTTAACCCAATGCCAACGATGTTTAAAAGTAAGACTTTCAAGATTTTGCCAAGTCTATTAAAATTTATCTTAGAATCTTTAATATGGAGCAAACATATTCTATCTGGTTGTTCAGATATAACCATTCTTTTTTTTTTTTTTTTAATGTTTATTTTTGAGAGAACGAGCAGGCGAGCAGGGAGGGGCAGAGAAAGGGCCAGAGAATTCCAAGCAGGTTCTGTGTTATCAGCGCAGAGCCCAGTACGAGGCTTGAACCCTGTGAACAGTGAGATCACGACCTGAGCTGAAGTCGAACACTTAGCCAACCGAGCTACCTAGATGCTCCAGGTATAACCATTTTTTAAAAAATGACAAAAACAGGGGTGCTTGGGTGGCTCAGTTGGTTAAGCGTCTGACTCTTGATTTTGGTTCAGGTCATGATTTCACAGTTCATGAGTTCAAGCCTCACATCGGGGTCTATGCTGACAGCATGGAGCCTGCTTGAGATTCTCTTTCTCTCTCTCTCCGTCTCCCTGCCCCTCCCCAGGTCACGCTGTCTCTGTCTTTGAAAATAAATAAACAAAAAAAATTTATAAATGAACAAAAACAGGAATTACATTGTTTAAAGGACTATTTCCATACAGAGTCACTACAATGGTATTTATATACATGAAGTATATCTACACGCTACATTCTCAGGAGAAGAGCAACCAAAGACATAATCAACAAAATATGATAGACTTTTATAAGTCTCTTCTCATAATACACTACAATTAACTCAAAGTAGATTAAGGATATGACTGTTAGAACCACAAAACTCCTAGAAGAAGGGGCGCCTGGGGGGCTCAGCTGGTTAAGGGTCCAACTTTGGCTCAGGTTATGATCTTATAGTGCGTGAATTTGGGCCCCACGCTGGGCTCTGTGCTGACAGCTCAGAGCCTGGAGCTGCTTCAAATTCTGTCTCCCTCTCTCTGCCCCTCCCCCACTTGTGCTCTCTCTCCCTCTCTCAAAAATAAACACACACTAAGAAAAAAAAACTCCTAGAAGGAAACACAGGCAGCAAGCTCCTGGGGCCTGGTGATGATTTTTGGATCTGACACCAAAAGCAAAAACAAAAGCAGAAGTAAGCTAGTGGGCCTGCATCGAGCTGACGAGCTCCTGCACAGCAAAGGAGACCATCAGCAAGGTGAAAGGCCAACTGTGGCCCAGGAGAAAGTGTTTGCAAATCACAGCTCTGATAAGGGGTTAATACGCAAATATATAAGGAATTCACACAACTCAACAGCAAAAACAAAAACAAAAAACCAAACAATCCAATTAAGAAATGGGCAGAAAAGGGGTGCCTGGCTGGTTCATTTGGTGGAACATGTGACTCCTGATCTTGGGGGTTGTGAGTTCAAGTCCCACATTGGGTACAGATTACTTAAGAATAAAATCTTAAAAAAAAAATGGACAGAAGATCTGAACAGACATTTTCCCAAAGAAGACATACCAATGGCCAACAAGTACATAAAAAAAAATCCCAACATCACTAATCACCAGGGAAATGCAAATCAAAGCCACCACCTCACACACATTAGAATGTCTAGTGTCAAAAAGATAAAAAGTAAGCGTTTGTGAGAATGTGGGTAAAGGGAACCCTTTATACACTGTTGGTGGGAATCGGTACAGTCAAGTGGAAAACAGTATGGAGTCTCCTCAGAAAATTAAAAACAGTAATGCCATATTATCTAGCAATTCCACTTCTGGTATCTATCCAAAGAAAATGAAAACCTAACTCGAAAAGATACACACACCCCTGTGTCCGCCGCAGCGGTGTTTACGGTAGTCGAGACACGGAGACGAAGTGCTCACCAACAGGTGAAGGGGTACAGAGAAACTGTGGTGCAGGCACAACGGGATGTTGTTCAGCCACCAGAAAAAACAAAATCCTGTCATTTGTGATAATTTAGGTGGACTTGAAGGCTACGTGACATCAGTTACAGAAAGAAAATACCACATGGTCTCACTTATACGTAGAATCTTAAAAACAAAAACAAAAACAAAAAACACCAAAACACAAAACTCAGAGACACAGAGAACGACTGGTGGTCGCCAGAGGTGCAGCAGGGGATGAAGAGGTGTCAACGGGCACAGACCTCCAGTTATGACGTCAGTCAGTCATGGAGACTGCGCTACACTTCACATCTGAAAGGTGCTGAGAGGGCAGATCATAAAAGTTCTCGTCACAGGCAGAAAAGAAAAAAACAGAAAACAAAACCCCAGTGTGACCATGTACTGTGGTAACGGATATTAACTAGGTTTAGGATCATTTTGCAATACAGACAGATACTGAATCACGCTGTACATCTGAAACTGATATAACATCACGTCAATTACACCTCAATGAAAAAAAAAGGGACCACAGATCTGTTTCCCAGCTGCACGTGTCTTGCCCTGACAGATTTCCAGAAAGGATTAAGGGTAGAGAGTGTGCTGAGTGTTTAATGGTTAAAGGTAAACCACAGAAAAAGCAAGACCCCCACAACATTTATTTATTTTAAAACAAAAATTTTTAAGTTATTTACTTATTTTGAGAGAGGAGGAGAGCATGAGCAGTGGACGGGGGGAGGGAGAGAGAATCCCAAGCAGGCTCTGTGCTGTGAGCATGGAGCCCGACACAGGACTCAACCATGAGTCATGTGAGACCATGACCTGCGCCAAAACCAAGAGTTAGAGGCTTAACCGACTGAGCTGCCCAGGCACCTCAAGATCCCCGGAACATTTAAAATACAATAGTATTTTCCAATTCCACGAGAGAATATATGTGCTTCTTGAAAAATGGTTTAAAAATAACCAAGTGTTAAGAAAACGAGAGCACATAGCAAAAAACCCAACCCAACCCAACCAAAAAGCCCCAATCCAGCACAGATCCACCTTCTCTTTCGAAAGGAGGAAGGGAAGGGCACGTAAACGCACGTTTTGGGTCTGACCCGTCGGGGCTGCTGAAGCCGGCATCTTTTGCGGAAACCCAAGCAGCAAAGCAGTCACTCTCATCCAAGGTAATAGTCAGCATCTGTCAACGGAAAAACACCGCTAGGGCCCCTCCACTTCAGCGCGCTCCCCGAAGCGGCCCTACTTACCCAGGCCGCCTGACCACTCAGCGCGGGGCCACAGACCCAGGACAAAGTGCGTTTCATGGGAATCACTTGAACTACAACTTAACTTACTGGGATGCCAACAGGCACTAGTAAACTGCATTTTGCAGGTTTAACATGAAAAGTTTATTGCATCCAAGACTCTGTAATCACTACTACTTAATTCTGAGCTACATTAGAAACTTTCAACCATCCCAAATTGTACAAATATCAGTTGCGAACTTACCCCCGTTTTTAAGTCTACTGAGAACCAATTTGGCACGTATACCATCTTAAATCTTTTCTTAATTTCATCTTCAAAATCCACTTTGCCCAAGTCTTCAACTTTACATGCCTATACATCAAAAAGAAAGTACGGTAATTGATTTGATTCTGACATAGGTAGTCAAAGTTTTACACATATTCACATCTGTCTAAAAAAATGGAGTCAAACATTTCAAAAAGGATGGGGCCAAATGGTTGAAGGTAGATGCTTTAATACAAAAATATCTGCTATTAAACTTTTAAATTAAAAAAAACCACAGAACATTCTCTTTTTGGAATCGCAATTTTGCTGATGCTCATAAAGCACACTACCACATGTACTTGGAAGCAATGTCAAATGAGGCAAGAACATTTTCAGGGAACAAAGACCAGCTCCTCAGCACCCCAGGAGAGCGGGGGGGCTACTGTGAAGACGAGAGCACCCTACAGGCAGCCCCTCTCTCGCTCACGCCGCGTGAGAGCTCCCTAGCCGGGTGTCCTGACCTCCGCTGGAGCCCTGGGCGGGTTCCGATGACTGCTCACCTCGGTTCCGATCTGTGCCGCGGAATGCTCCCTCCGCCACCTCCTCACACCGACCTGGCTCTCTCCCTGGCGTCAACTGTCTTCTCAAAGGCCGACTCTGCCTGTTGTCTATCCTACACCCCGCTGATGGCAAGTGGAGACCACTGTCCCCTCGCCTCCATGTAAAGCCGCCTACCTCCCTGAGGCTGCAGCACACCCGGCCTGTCTCCTCACGATGGGGGTCCTGCTAAACAGCCTACAGTGCGCAGGTCGGGTCCCGCTCTACCCTGCCTCCCTCAACAGAGACTTCTTCGGCCCAAAATGTCCATAGTGTCCAGGATCAGGAACTGTGATGTATTCATTTTAAAGCAAGGCAGCATATAACACAGAGGAAATGGGTCCGTTCAAATTTCAGGTGCATATAAAGATGAACTATGGCCTTCTCTAATGTTTGCATGAAAAAGTACCCCTAAGGTAAGGTATTATTGCAATCAAATCTTAATTTACACACTTACTATCTTGCTTATTATATATATTTTTAATAATAAAAAATATAGGTAATACATGATCCAATAACTGATGTTTTATACAAAAAGATACTCACCTTCAATACATCCCAATATGCCACATTATTATTGGTATCTTTGGTTAATATATGTCTCTTATCATTAAGAATGTGACACTGAATAATACTAGCGCCCCCTACAGGAAAAAAGAACCCACACAATTAGCAAAACTATTGACAGTCACACGGTGGGGCAGTAATCACTGATGGGCATGCAACAACATAAATCATACCAGCCACCGGGAAGAAGGTGAGGCAAAAGATACATAGATATTAATATATATACATATAATTACATCTAAACCAATTTGAGACCAAAGAAAAACTGTCTCATTTGAAAAAGAGATTACAGACTTAAAAACTCGCGACTTCGCGGGGTCTTCTAGTGGGAAGCTGTTAAGGGCGCACAGTTTTATCCGGCGGGGGGAGTCCAAACGATGGCAGGAGATCTCGGCGTCAGTCCCGTCCCTAACCCCTGCTTCCTGTCCTCCTCCCCTCTGAGGCCTCCTGCACGGCACAGGGCACAGCACGGGCAGCCCCTGAGCCCGCCCTCCAGGGGAGGTGGAGGTGGGAGCCGCCCCTTCCAGCTGCAGCCCAGAAAGCACGAGTCTTGTGCCCACAGACGGCGTTCGATGCTACGTGTTTCACAAAGTGGCTCTTGGTTTTACTGACACCATCACCATTCTGACGCTAGGGAGAGATTGTACCCCAAGAAAGCCCACTTTTTAAAGGCACTAAATTGTATTTTAAAAAAAATGTTAGAGAGAGAGAGAGAGCGAGCGAGCCGGGGAGGGGGACAGAAGATCTGAGCGGGCTCTGTGCTGACCAGAGAGCCCGATGCAGGGCCTGAACTCACGGCCTAAGCTGAAGTCGGAAGCTTAACCGACTGAGCCCCCAGGCGCTCCGACACTAAATAGCATTCAAAAAATATTTTTCTTCTATTAAAAACAAACCTACACATTGTGTCCTCTGTTGACAACAGAATTACATCTACAGTAAAGTCATCTCCTTATTGTCCAGGTCTCAATAACGATAATTAGGCTCAGTAAAAAGTACAGTACCTTCCACCTACCCTACTCACCTTTAATAACCTGGTCAGGCTGTGTACAAAGTGCTGATATAGGATTTGTACAGTCATTGTCATAATCTCCGGAGGCTCTAAAATTATGAATTCCCTTCAAGGTCTAAAGGAACAAAATTTATTTTTTAATCATTTTATGCTTTATAATTTGCCAATCTGTTTAAAGTGGCAAGAAAAACAAAGAACAAGAAAAAAACACAACAGTAACAACATCAACCAAAAATATTTAGTGACAAAGTACAATTAATTATCTATCACGATTTTAAAAAACAAAACAAGTATTCAGAAATGTCACTGCTGTTTTTTGGAGGGAAAAGTAAGCCCTCTTCCAGGTAGAGCTGCGTTGATCTCAACCGGGACAATGAAACGTAGACAAGATATAGAACATTTTTTACCGGAGCAAGAAAGCCCACATGACCCGCATATAAACAAACAAATGCAAACACGCTCTCTTTTGTTATCTGCGTACAGGCTGGTAAGCAAGAGAACCTAAATGTTCTTTAAATAACATTTAAGGGTTAACAGTATTTTTATGACTTCTCTATGCTCATCTTCTAATTCTATCCCTGTTCTACAACCTGGGAGGGAGAAGGAAATGAACCTGAAAGCACAATTTCCGAGTTTCTCGTATGCTTAGAAAATCAGAATGCCAGCGAGCGTCCCTGCCATTGAGTACAATGCTCCCTGCTTCCCGAAAGCAGAGGGTTCACACAAAACCTTCCCTGAGCGGCGGTGCTGTAAAGACAAGCAACCACCCTTCACAGAAGCACCGATCCTCCTCTGATGGCCTTCGGTCAGAGAACACCGGAGACACAGAATTTGCAGAGGTGAAGTGGCATAAAGCAAACCTTTGTTCAGTGGGGGAAACCTGCACCCAGGCTGCCCGTCTGCTACTGCAGGTTTGTGAGCTCCGAGCTATAAGGATAGTTTTGGCTTTATCGGGCAACAGGGCCTATTCTGAGCCCATCAAATGTCTATCTTGGCTCCTGACAAGGAAGCCAGAAGCTGTGTCTTGACTTTTACCTTAATTTTACTACAGTCCTTAGGGTGACTCAGAAGCTCCCAGATCCCGGCCACTGCTCAAGAGCACGCTGGCCACCGGGTTCACCTTGAGCATTTGCTACAGACACCTGGCGGGTCTGTGACAGCAAACCTCTGCCAGGTGAGCGGGGGCTCACTTACCCATTTATTTACGGTAGACTTAGTCGTGGCAACCCAGATGGCGGGAGGGGGGTCGGCGGACCTGTCGAGCTCCATCTGAAAAGAAAGTGCAGACGCTGCTCTCCTGCATGCAGACTCCTGAGCCGCTGCACCTAGCTACATATTATTATACACCAATGCCTTCACCCAGCATTTGCATGCTGACTGTACCCTGCACGTGTTAAAAGATAGGGATCTAGGGGCGCCTGGGGGTCTCGGTTGAGCGTCTGACTTCGGCTCAGGTCATGATCTCATGGTTCGTGGGTTCGAGCCCTGCGTCAGGCTCTGTGCTGACAGCTCAGAGCCTGGAGCCTGTTTCGGATTCTGTGTCTCCCTCTCTCTGTCCCTCCTCTGAGCGTGCTGTCTCTCAAAAATAAAAAAAAAAAAGCTAGGGATGAACAGGGGCGCCTGGGTGGCTCAGTCAGTTGAGCGTCTGACTTGATTTCAGCTCAGGTCGTGATCCCAGGGTAGTGGGAAAGAGCCCCACGGCAGGATCTGTGCTGAGTGTGGAGCCTGCTGGGGTTCTCCATCTCCCTCCGCTCTTCTACCCTGTTTGCTCTCTCTCTCAAATAGAAATTTTTTAAAGAAATAGAAATTTTTTAAAGAGAGAAAAGCTGGGATGCACAGAATACTGAGGGAGTCGCTTTGCTAATGGAAGCACGGCCTTATAAAAGTGTAACAGGGGTGACGTCTCATCAAAACAGTGGCTGAAAGTCTGTGTGATTTTAAATTATTTAATTAATCAGGAGCTCCAAGTAGGTACGGTCAAAAGGATAACTTACCATAATTTCTCTTTTTGTTACTCTTTCGTTTTGTTTTCCTATTCTTTTTTAAACTTTATTTTTTGAGAGTGAGATAAGGGGAGGAGGGGCAGAGAGAAGGAGACACAGACTCCAAAGCAGGTCTCAGGCCATCAGCGCAGAGCCCGATGCAGGGCTCAAACTCACGGATCCTGAGATCATGAGCTGAGCCGAGATCAAGAGGTGGACATGTACCCGCCCTGTGGCCAGGCCTCACTGTCAGCACGTGTCCGTATGGAGGGCCTCCCGAGGACCCTCTCCCCGCACGCCGGATGCCGGCCAGCAATCAGGACTGCTGTGAGCAACGTCAGGTTTGGAGTATGGACCGGCTCGTTCTCTCCTATTCCGGAGCATTCTTCCACAGCCTCCCTCTTCAGGCAGGGGTACTTCTGCTTTGCTGTCTGCTTGCAGAGACCTGACCTCGCCCTACTCCTCCCCTGAGGACAGGTCAGGAAAGCCAGGGGCGCTCAGGAGCAGGCGGGGCAGCCGCACTGGGGTTCGCCAGTGCGAGAGCCACGTGTCACCGATGCACCCAAGGGTCACAACCTCTCCTACAGATGGCTAATGAAACTTACAGTATCTTTTTTCACAACCCCACAGTTGATCTGTGCTCTAATACAGATTTTGTTGGATTTGATCAGCACAAGTAACAACCTTAATCACAAAACTAAAACAGGACTGACCTTGAGAACCGGTGCTTTTTCTTCACAGATGAGTACCCGGATGTCAGGGCTCCTTAGGTCTGTGCAGTAAATCTTCCTGTCCCTCCCACCAGAATACACGTGTGTGAAGGCGTCGTTGACCTGCAGAGCCCAAACACCTTCATCGTGGACCCGGTACGTTGCTATGCATCTCTGTTGGCCAAGGGACCAGAGGCGAATTGTCCCATCGGAACTGCCGGAAAGGCACTGGAAACAGAAGAAGTTAACGTTGGAAAAAGTTCCGCCCAGAAGCTCCTGCTTTCCTGTGCTCTGTGACTGGCGGGTCTCCCAGACTCCACGCCTCAGACACGCGTCGCTCACGACATGTGTGAAGACCTGTGCTAAGCACACACCGCAGGCTCGAATGACCGACGGCAACAGGACCTGCCCAGGCAGGGGACCCTCTGAGCGAAGCTGCCTCTGTCCTCCCGACCTGGCTGCGCGCGCTCAGCACCCTGGGAACTTGAGAAAAGCGCAGACTCCTGGGTCCGACCCTAGACCCAATGAGGCAGAAGCTGCCGTGGGGCCGGCAACCCGTGGTCCGACGGCCTCTCCGGGCGCGCTGGCACACGAAGGTCGCCAAGTTCTGCGCGAGGCCGGCCTGCCTCATCCCCGTGCTCACGGCAACGGACTCCTGATGGCTGCCGGGTCTCGGAGAGTCTACTAATAGGAGTCGGAAGCAAGTTCTAGTCCCAGGTTTACCACTCACTGTCTGTGACCCTGGGTACTTCCCATCGGAGCCTCAAGTTCAACATCTATTAACATAAAACGTGGACCTCCAGCATTCGGAGTTAACGTTAGCAATTCTGACACTTCATAAAGGTTCAGGGGCATCAACCACACAGAAGTCGCTGGCACACAAATCAGGGCCGCGCACACCGTGAGTCCGGCGGAAAGAGGCTGAAGCGGCCACCCCACACTCACATTCGACGCGCCTGGGGGTCACTACCAGCTACGGTGGGGACTTGCAGAGGAGAATAAAGCTTACTCTTTGGGGGAAAATGGCCTCGAGGAGAAGCACCTGCTGGTGCTGGTGTACGAAGTTAAGTAGGCACAGGCTCAAGGAGGGAAGACAGCTGTGGGCTTAGAGGGTCTGAGTACATGAGACCCTGGGGAATGCCGTGGCACCGCGAGGGCCTCTGGAACTCTGGACAAGCTTAACCAAGTGAACACGCGCTGGGGGACTCCCCCAGAAGTTGCCGGGGGCATCAGTGTTTGAATCACCAACTCCGACTGGGCTGCAAGGGCACCGAGAGGCCAGGCAACACAGAGGCCTCCCGCGTAACTTATGAGCAGACCTCCAATGTGTGGATGGTGGGGGGAAGCAGTCGGAGGAGGGAGGCCAAGGAAGGGCTCCCCTTCCACAGAGACGCTGCTCTGAGGCGGCGAAGCTGTCAGTGCAGCTCCGGCCCCTCAGATCGCAGCCCGTGTATCTGCAGAGAGTACGGGTGACAGAGGACGCGGAAGCTACGGTGAAGGGCTGGAGGTGCGCGGAGCCTGGGCAGCCCGCGGCGGGGCATGGAGGCGGTGAGGGCCAACCGCGAAGCCTACGGCGGGAAGCTGCTGAGGGAACACAGAGCTCTACCGACCCTGAGACAGAACACAAAATAATCTCTGACGGCAGTCGTGCTCGGAGAGAGCAGCCCCCCGAGTAGACAGCAACAAAGCAGTGCGGGTGAAGTTCCTTGCGGTGGCTGGCAGTACGGCTGAAGGGGGTGTGTTTCGCAGGACGAACAGGGGCCTGACACCGTGTGCAGCGGAGCTAGTGCACAAGAGGAGCGCGTCGAACTGCCTCCACCTTCCAGGTGGTTAACGTGAGTCCCCGTCCTTAGGAGGTAACTCCCGGGACGAGGTCAGGAGGCCCCGAACGGTTCTGCTACATCAGGCTTAGGGGCCCAGAGTCTATGGCCCAGATCAGGGAAAGAAGGGGGGCCATGTGCTGAGCCAGGCCGCCGCCAACCACGAGTGCTTCCGGGTGGTCGCCCATACACAGCCGCGGCTGCCAGGAGCAGCCAGGTGGCCAAGGTGAGCTGGCCCGGAGTGGCCTGACGCTTGAAGACCCAGGGCCCGTAGCTAGGTTACGCAGCACTTAGGTTACCAGGAAACCCTCCGGGGACACACGAGGACTCGCTGACTCAAACAGACGGCAGGCTGTCCCAGCTCGTCAGCTACTGCCTGAGCAAGTGCGAGGGGTGAGCTGGCAGGTGGCTCAGCCCAGTGGTGCCGGCGCCGATCAAAACAAGCTCGGTGGTGACAGACCTCCGGCAGCAAGATGTGCTACGTGATAACCGCAACTAAGGAACGGCCATGGGATTCACAGGCCTCTTATACAGACTTTTTGTTTTTAATGTTTATTTCTGAGAGAGAGAAACAGAGGCAGAAAGAGGGAGACAGAGAATCCGAAGCAGACTGCTCTATCAGTGCCGCGCCCAAAGTGGGGCTCGAACCCACAAACCGCAGGATCACGACCTGAGCCGAAGTCAGACGCCCAACCCCGCCTGCCAAGCGGTCCGCTCACAGGAGTGGAGCTGACTTCACACGAAGCGCGTCTGCGGCCCCGTGTGCCGAGCGGCCCGAGGGAAGGGCACCGGCACAGCTGTACGTGCAGGAGACGAAGCAAGGAGCTCAAGAACAGGAGGGGCTTGAGGAAGTCTGTGCAGCCGCAGCCTCGACCCGCTAGGGGGCCGGCGCGTGACGACCATGTGGCCCAGTCACACCCTGGACACAGCCAACAGGACACGGCGGGGGCAGCGGCCACACGGCACAACCGTAAGGAGCGGACGGCGCCGGGCTTCTCAGACCCTGTGAAAACGGGCTGCAAAGGAGCTCAGGCTCTAGACCCCGCGACGGCTCACATACACTCGCTACCGCTAACCTTCTTACAACTGTACCAGCTAACTATGATCCCCACTTCGCAGATGAGAAGACTAAGGACTAGCAAAGCGAAGTCCTCTCCTCGAGGCCACACAGTAAGTACAGTTAACACGGGGACAGATCGCCGAAGACCTGCATGGTGTCTCCCAGCCCCTCTCTGGGTCTGAAGGACGGTTTTCTCACCTCTAATTCACACGAGGCACTTGCCGCGATGTAATTTCCACGGGGCTGACTAGTGACGGTGCGTCTCCCTCGGCCCTCCCCACCGGGCCTTTGCTGACCCGCCGCCATCAGCCCCGGCCACCCCCGGGCTCCTCCCAGCCCGTGAGCAACCGTGGCCCGGGGACGGGGGGAGGGGCAGCAGTAGACCCTGACTGCACGTGGTGCTCGGGTTTGTTTCTATCGCCCACACAGACGGAAGATCACTCCCCATTGCTAAGGGACAAATCGAACTGTGATTTATAATCCACAAATTATGTATCCAACCAAGTTCTAGAGTACCAGTCCGTGTGCAAACGTGACCAAGATGTTTTTCTTTGAGATGCTGACTCTAAGCAGCGCGTCAGATGCCTGAGCTTACAGGCTGTATCTACAAAATCAACGGCAGGGTCTGCCCCAAAGTCAGGCCCGCTGTCGGGAAATCTCCGCCAGCAGAAAGCACTCAATGCCAAAGCTTCTTTCCGCTTTACACAAAGGAAGATTTTAGATTACTTTATCCTGAGAGAGTCTGGGTGGCTCAATTGGTTAAGTGTCCAACTTCAGCTCAGGTCACTATCTCACAGTTCGTGGGTTCGAGCCCTGCGTCGGGCTCTGTGCTGACAACTCAGAGCCTGGAACCTGCTTCGGATTCCGTGTCTCCCTCTCTCTGCCCTTCTGCTATCACGCTCTGTCTGTCTCTCTCTCTCAAAAATAAATAAACATTAAAATAAATTATTTTATCCTACATACGTCATAGCTGCATAGAGCCGTTGGCATTAGAGTTATTCTGAGGGAACTTCTTATTTGGCCTCTATTTAAAAGCGATGCAAAAAGAATTAATTTCCAAATGTGGATTACCATTAGGTGCAACTGGGTACTTTAGAGACTTAAAAGCAGACCACTCCTGAGACGTCTCTGGTCAGGACACCCCACCACGGCCGTCGGGGGCATCCCGTGCGTGTACGCACCTGGGTGCCGTCCCTGTTCAGCAGCAGCGCTTTCACATTGTCCGTGTGCCCTTTCAGCTTCATGAGCTTTGCACATGTTCTTGGGTCCCACACCCTTAAAACCTGTGATTTGAACAAAACGTAACATAAGCTGAATACACACCTGAACAAATTTCAAGAATAAATGGCTGAGAAGTCAAATGACAACCACCACATTGGGAAGGAAACACCGCCTGCCAACGGGCACCATCTCAGGCTCCCCATCTTTCCAAGCAGGAGGAAGCCTCTCTAACGTCAAAGCGCGACAGGCCTCCCCCACCCATTCACCCCGCCCCCATCACCGCAAACGACAGTAATTATACAGTTATGTTCTTATTTGTTCAAATAAAACCTTTCTCTTAACAAAACATCAGTCTGTATATTTAGTAATTATATGGATTCAATTATTTTGGTGTCTCTGTTTTCCAGAGTTAAAACGCACCCGTTAGCTCCCTCTTACCTTCTCAGTGGACCCCGATACAATGATTGTTCCCAGTTGATTCATTGCCAGGCTATAAATGGAATCTTTGTTCCCACTTAAAGAAGAAGCTATTAAGGATAAACAAAGCTAAATGTTAACAAAATCCTCACCTGTTCAGCAGCTGGTCAGCGAAAATATAAGTTTAATAATTTGGTTTGGAAAATCTTATCTTTGTGTGTGTTCTAAGGAAAAGAAATCTTGCTATGATGGAGATCATTCTAAACAACAATACTGTTAACACAATTCACATCTTTTCTAGATTTGAGCATACACACATGCTCAATAAAATTCACTAAACTGAACTACACTGCTGTTTAAAAACTATCCACAGAAGTAATGTATTTTCAAAGATATACTTGTGCCAATAAATAGATATGAAAAACATATCCAAACTCACCATTTTCAAGGAAACACAAACCCAGAGTTATTATTTTCACCTATCAAATCAGATTTTCAACGAGGTAATCATGAACTCTCGGACCACAGTACAATGGTACCCCACATATTACCTGTGGGATAAGCCCAACTTGTTTGGTACGGCTCCCGGAAGGGCGCTAGACAGTGTTTACAAGAGTCATGTTCACGCTCCACAACTCAGAACTCAGCTTCACTGGATGGAAAGAAGCTAAGTGTAAACTGTCTACACAGTATGATCCTAATTTTCAATAAGGAATGAGTATAAATAAACATACTGAGAAGTTTTGAGTAAAGGAATTAATATATGTATTGAGAAAACTAACAGATTATAGTAAGTGCTCAATAAGCGTTAGCTATTAGTGTTTCTGTAATCATAAATCAGCTTGTGTGCCGCCCTCTCTACACAATTCTAAGCCAGATGTGTCTGTGCAGAATCTGTAAGCCTAGGCCTGGCCTCTGGGCCCATCCTGCCTTCTTCTGCTTGGCTCCCTCAGGGTCTCTGGGGCAGGCCCTGACGGAGAGCCACAGACGCGGCGGGACAGGCTGCAGCAGAGACGGCTGCCGGGCCAGCACAGTGATGCACTGGTGAAAACCAAGGAGAACGAGGGGAGAGCAGTGTTTACAGTCTGCGTCCTTCCTGGGGAAAGGGTGGGAGCAGCACTCGAGAACCATAAACACCTGTCTCCCAGCCCGCCCTTCCCGACACACCCCAAGGTATCTGAGGCCTGTTTTAGCTATGCCACTGCGAGTCTTCCCCGGTTGTGACAAGCCAGGCCTGTATGCAGAGACCTAGATAGCTCAGGCCTGTACTCTGACAACACACCTTCCAGGCCAGCCTTACCCAAAACTGTGCTCCTAAGAGTCCCTTCGACACCTGGCCTAGGGGACTCTAGCAGGTTGGCTCGAGGGGAGGCTCAGTTTCAAATCCAGACTCGTATGGGTCTGACCTGGTGATCTCAGATCTCTTGCTCGAGGAGGCACGTGTGTAATTAACATGCTGTGTGTATCTGTGAAGTTCCTCCCCAGGCGCCCTCCCCTCCCCCGAACTCTCCTGAAACCGGCTGGATTCTTTAGGGCGGCTCTGAGCGGGTCCTGTCAAATCGGTGCCGGAAGGCTCCAAGCCTCTGCTTCCTCTCCTTTGCGTATTTTCCACGCTGGCCATTAGCTCAAGGGCTCTTAACACACAGTGACACTGTTAAGAGTCAGAAGCTGCCTGCTTTGTCATGTTATCACCACCGCCATCAGCAGCGCCTGCTGAGATCTGACTGGCCCAGGCAGTGCTGTGGGGGGCACGGCGTGGTGACACACGGACGCTCTCACCCTGTAGGGAGCTACACTTGGGCGAGGGAGCTAAGACCTGTGCGTGGACAGACCCGGCAGGTCACACCTGCAGAAGTGACCGTCAGAGCGCAGTGAGGAGCCAGCTGCGTGTTCGCTCCTGCCCCAGGCTTGAGCGCTGTAGGCAGACGCTCTCTCCAATACGAGCCACTGGCTCGATGCAAACCTATCGAAGCTGTCTCATACACCATTCTTTATCGATGACAACCTGAATCACTTCCAAAGACAGTTTCTTCAAACACCTTACTTGTGACAGTGTTGTTTGAGGCAGTCAGTGCCGTTAGCGTGTTCACGTCCCAAAGGAATATCTGCCTGTCCAGCCCCGCGGACGCCACCAGCTCTTTGTCCTTGGCGTACGCTAAGGCCTTTACGTAGTCCTGCAACGGGACACACACAGCGATCGACGGGGTCAGCAAGGAGAAGAGCGCCACACGACCGCGACCTCAACGTCACACTGAGACTCTGGAAGTTCCGTTGGTCCTTTTACCTTGTGTGTCCTTAGTGTTGACATGCAAAATCCCTTATGCGCGTTCCACACCTTCACTGTCGTGTCAGAGGAAGCGGAGATTACTAGGGGAGGCGAGGAGTAAACAAATCCTTAGTAAGACCTTCCATCACTTTAAGGACTTAAAACAATGCGACATACTTCAAACTGACACTCACGGACATACACGTACACTGGAGTACCGACCTATGCCTAGCATTAATCCCAGGATCTGTTAATGCTCTCGCTCGCTCTCTCACACACACACCTAAAAGCTCTTTCTAGAACCTGCTGTATTTCTTAAAATATTTTTTTTAAATAGGCAGGTTTGCGTTTTTTAATGTTCCAGTTGCAGGCACAACTAATTTGATTGAGAAAAATTTCTCTAACACACACTGCGAAACTAAGAAATGGATCTTATCACAGTAAGAACAAAAAGAGACGTGACCAGGCTAACAGGAGACTATGTGTCGTATAAATCTATTTACATGCAGCTGGAATGCAGGCAAAACTCATCTATGGTGGTCAGCAGACGGGAGAGCAGTTATCTCGGGGCACGAGGGACTGACTGAAAGGGTGGTCTGGGTGGGCTTCTGGTGATCTGTATCTAGACACGGCCTTCACCGTATGAAGTTTTACTGAGCTGTGTTCTCAAAGGTGTGTGCTTTCCTGCATGTATATCAGACTTCAGTTAAAAAGGCACATGAAAAACACATCAAATTGAATAAAAGCTTCCGACACCAGTGGTCTAAGAAGTACTCACATGTTTTCCCGTTACAGCAAAGCACGATGTCATTTACCCAGTCCGTATGGTGCTCCATAGATGCTATATAGGGGTCTTGCTGCAAGAGAATGGTGAGGGCGTCATTGGTCTACAGCAGAGGACAGAACATGTAAGTTTTATATATGTTCACACCCTGCGGTTAACGTGACGCACTACTCTCGGGTCTTAAAGTGGATGACCGAATTCAGAGTACAATTTCATCAAACAGTCGATGCTTCCATGTAACGGATGTGAATAGAGCTTTTTTTGTTCCAGGAGTTTTATTACTGATGAAAGCCTAGATTCCTCGGACAAACGCTTACCTTTGATGCCTCGAGTGAGCTAAGGCCACAGGGCCTGGGCTAGGCCCTGCACGTGACACTGAGTGCCACATGCCGGGCTTCCCTAGGGAGGACAGGGCGTGAGCAGATCTGCGGGCTGGGGGGCAGGGGTGTGTGTGTGTGAATCAGCCGTGTTGACACAGACGTGCAGATGAGGCTGATGAGAGCGGAGAGGAGCCCAGCCTAACCCGCTCCTGCTGTTCCAACTCTCTGGATTAGCGCTTTCCTCACATCTACCGTCTGTCAGAAGGCGAAAGGAGCCCCACCCGTGCCCCCTATCAGTTCAGAGACGTGAGATTCTTCCACCCTCCTCTCGTGGCTTCCTTACCAGGAGTGACGTTTTAAAGGAGAGTATTAGTTACGTCCTGCAGCCAACACTTCCCACAGAAAGAGAACAGCCTCTACAAGTCTACTTGGAAATGATCCTACTCAGTCTTGCCACAGAATGAAGCCCGGAAATGTCTAAGGGCAGGACCGGAAGCTTTCTCGGTTCTCTCAGGCTTAGACCCTTGTGAGTGTTTGTTTTAATTTGTGTGAAATACTGCAAATTCCCAGAACGGTGATGTTCCAATTCAAATGTGAGTTCCAAAAAGCATTTAAAAGTCATATTCTCTTAGTTTCTGTGTTTTTGATACTGGGCCACCACCATTTCCGTTGGTTAAAAAATTCAAAACCCACTGGACCAAAATCCATTTAAAGAAACGTTACCCAGCAACCGTGTGAAGTGTGGCTCTTTTTCAGACTGAACATCAGCCTCGCCAAGCTTGCTAGAGACGCGAACTCTTAAAACCACGAGGTCTAGCACCAGGGTCCTGAAGCTACCCTGGGCTCTGACTCTGTCCCTTGCCAGCTGTTTAACCATGGGTTTCTCTGAGCCTGTCTTCCCCTCGATGAAAATGAATCACAACTGCTGCCCTGAAGGTTGTTGTGAGAATTAAGACCACACCAGACAGGAAAGTGCTGAGTGCCTGGCACGCAGCGAGGGCTCTAAACGCTCCTTCTCCTTCCCTGAGTCTTCCTTCCGCGTCACGGACAATACAGGCACTCAAACAAAATACAGAGCGCGCTCCTCTCCCATGGCTGGGGATCTATCTTTGCATAGATGTAAGTCCTGTTCGCTGTTTAAGAAAACAACCTTACCTCTCCCGGAGAAGTGGAGTATGCTGTCTTTACATTTTTATATCAACTGTCTATTATCTAATGGGGCCCTATGGATTTTTTGGGTGCCCTGGTCACTTGTAAATAAAGAAATCAAATGTCTGTTCAAGATTAATTATAAATGTAAAAGCATATTTGACCTCTTTTTCCTTTTTTGAAGCACTGACAAAGTTGCCAAGAAGCTTTTGGGAAACCTACTTAACGCAGAAAAATAAATTGTTGAGACTAACCCTCCTCCGAGACCCATCTCTGTTCTCTTGCAGCAGAGAGCTCGCATCGCTCACCTAGTTTACGGAGTCCTGACCGTAGCCAGAACACTCTGGAATAGTCCCTGGTGGGTGTTTTCTCAGAGGATTATGGGATTCCGGCTGTAGTGTACCAAGTAGCTCCCGGCTCGGAGATGAAATCGGAAAGTGAGAGAGGTGCTGGGCTGACAGCCCACGGGTGTCTGAGTGCAGACCCGCCTTACCTTGTGCTGATTGACGCTCCATATTCTTATGATGGAGTCTCGTCCGGCCGTGAAAAGCCTGTTTAGTGCTGGGTCCAGCTGCAGGGCATTGACTCCATTTCGATTGTACTTCTCGACTTCATCTCGAATAACATAGGACACCTGATAAATACATCCAAATTTACTTTTTATAAAGTCACAAGACGTGCAGTAACAGTACGTAGCCTCCTAGTGGCCAATCTGGAATTCAAAGTCCCTTGTTTTCCAACATAAAACTTATTTTTCACCCCACTGAGCCGCCGAGGAGCTGAGACGGATTACATTAACGACTGCGAGTCCAGGGTGAGCAGGGATGAAGCTCGCCGCCCCCCCCCCCCCCGCGCCTGTCCGCCTTGACTCGCCTTTCCACAAAGCCGCCGGACCCTGGAGCGCGCCCAGCGCGGCCTGCTGTCCCAGACGCATGACGAGCTCGGAGCTCCTCCCCCGGTCCCCTGCCACCCGTGTCTGCACACTCCGCCCGCAGCTGTGACACGGCGCCCCCGGCCCGTCACGTGCCCCCGGCCTGTCACGTGGCCCCCGCCCATCACGTGCCCCTGCCCGGGGTGTCCAGCTCCCCCTTTTACTTGGCTGCAGTCTTTCACGTGTTTAGATGATGCCTCGTCAGAAGGCCTCGTGTGAACTGCCACACACGGTGAGGTCGTGTGTCCCTACAACACACCGGCCCTCCCCGTGCTCCTGCCGGTGACCTGTCCGACCCCTGTAAAACCCAGGAGAATCAACCGAATGCACTCACAACGAAGAAAAAGGCAGCCGAGAGCAAAACATTCCTCATCTAAGGAAAGAACTAGTGAAGACGAGATTGGGGGCGGGGCACTCACACTAGGAGCCTAGAAATACCTGGAAATACCCCTTGCAAGGACGACACGTCACCAACAGGTCGAGGTACATAAAAGAACACCTTGAGCAGAGGAGGCTGCTGCACAGGAAGATTCAAAATTCATAGTTCTTTCCTGAGTGTGAATTTGGCCCAACTTTGGTCAGAATCTTTCTTAAAAACAAAACACATATAGCATAATGTCTGGGAGGAATACCCAGTCATCTTTAAAACGGAAAAGATATTCTCTGGGGGATCTTAGAAGGTCTTATTCTAAAGCTACTAGAATTACAATGGAGTGGCACACCAGGAACACAGAAAAAGGCTCACTAGAATAAATCAAAATTTGGAAACATTTTTCTGTTATAAATTTTTAATTTTTGATATAAACATAGTATTCCAAATCAATGAGGGCAAGATAAGTTATTCATCAAATTATCTAGGGGCATCTAGTGATTCCACCGGGAATAATTATATTCTTTTTCCAAATCTTAAACCAAAATGAATTTTTATACAAACTAAAGATTGCAATTTAACAATTTAACCATAAAAATACTTTTTAAAAAGACCAGCAAAAACATAAAAATTAAAAAAAAAAAAGACCGGCAAACATTTATAATCTCTATACAGAGAAGGTTTGCTAACATGACGGGCAGCAGGGCAATCTTTTCAAAGAAAAAGACCAACGCTGCTCTGAGCACACACAAGTCAGAACCTTCCGTGTGCACACTGCTGTTCACAGCCGCCCTACACACGATAGCCACAGACTGGAAACAAGTCAGATGCTGCAGGCTGAGGGACGGAGAGACAAGATGTATCGTGTCCATCAGCGGGACGTTGTCCAGCCACGAAAAGCAGAAGTTCTGACATGGGCTACGGCACAGGGAGGCCCCTACGTCAAGAGACCAGTTACAAAGACGATCTATTTCACGACTGTGTTTCTGTGAAACGTCCAGAGCAGGTAAACCTACAGAGAAAGTGGATTAGTAGTTGCCAGGGGCGTGGAGGAGAGGAAAGCAGGGGTGACTACCCACAGGTATGAGGCTTCTTTCCGGGGTGACAAACTGTTCTGAACTGAGTGATCAATGCACAATGTTGCGAGTTTACTAACCAGCACTAAATTGTATACTTCAGCAGGGTGGACTCCAAAACTTTATCTCAATACAGCTGTTATTTAGGGAAAAAACCCTGAATGTAAAAAAAAAAAAAACCAAACATATATATATGTGTTTTTTTATATATACTTATATATATTTTATTTTATATATATACTCATATATATATTTTATATACATACTCATATATACATACATATTTTATATATATACTCATATATCAATGAGTAAGGTTAAAAGGTAAACATCTAACTGGGAAAATAATGAAATAGATAATGAAAGACAAAAGTTCACGCTTAAGAACATACTAAGAGTCCTTACAAAACAAGAAAAAGTCAAACTCTCTAACAGAAAGAGGAATAAAGATCACGAAGGAGAATTTTTTTAAAAAGCAAAGAAAATGGCCAAAAAAACCACATAAAGTCATGAATGTCTGCACAAAGACAAAAGGACTATTGTTTTTGGCCTGGTCTTTTGGGTACAAGTAATTGTAATAGAAATTTACAAACCAGCTTAAATTGAAAACGAGAGAGAGAGAATTTAACATAGAGATACAAGGATATCTACCAGAGCCCAAGGGCAAGGAATATATATAGTCATGACTCATAAGAAACATTTTTAAAATAAAGTCATGGCACTTGTCCGCCAAAGCCCTCCACAGACTTTTCACTGCGTTCAAGTCCAAGTTCCTCACGTGCTTCGGGCCTGCCCTGCGTCTGCACACTGCCCTCAACCTGACTCCCCCAGCGCCTTCCACGACGGCCCCCCAAACTCTGACCTGCTCCTCAGACACACCGAGCCCTCTTACTGCTTACTGTGCCGGGACCCCCACGTCTACGGCACCCACGGGAACTCTCCCCTGGCCCTTCCCTGCGTCTGTCCCATGCGACTCACCCCGGCCCTTCAGCTCTTAGCTTCTCTGGAAGGCGCCCCTGATCTCCTTCATCACTCACCCTATTTACCCCTCCCGTGGCTCTTACCACACTCCAGCTTTCTCGTTTTCGTCCTTTTATCATTAAGCTTCCTGTGCTTTGAGAAAGTCCTTTCACTCTAGGAACTTGTGGTACGTCAGCTCTGAGAAACATTTTTTTTTCCTAATGTTTTATTTATTTTTCAGAGAGAGACAGAGAGACAGCGTGAGCAGGGGAGGCTCAGAGAGAGGGAGACACAGAATCTGAAACAGGCTCCAGGCTCTGAGCTGTCAGCACAGAGCCTGACGTGGGGCTCGAACCCACAAACTGTGAGATCATGACCTGAGCCGAAGTCGGATGCTCAACCTACTGAGCCACCCAGGCGCCCCAAAACGTTCTTATATCAAGTCATTAATAATGATCTTTGTTTTTTTGCTCCTTCTTAAACTCCCATCAGTTAGATGTTGGAACTTGTGAAAATTTTTAAATTTAGTTTTGAGAGAGAGCGCGTGCACGAGTGAGCAGGAGTGGGGGAGGGGCAGAGAGAGAGGGAGACACAGAATCGGAAGCAGCTCCAGGCTCTCAGCTGTCGGCACAGAGCCTGACGCGGGGCTCGAACCCACGAACCATGAGATCATGACTTGAGTCGAAGCCGGACACTTAATTGACTGAGCCCCCCAGGTGCCCCAGATGTTGGAACTTTCAAACTGATCCTTCATTTTTTTATGCATTCTGTATTACCCATCTTTGTCTTTTACTTTTGTAATGCCTCGTTTACTATTTTTTAACTATTTTTTTTTTTAGTAAATTTCAGTATGATGGAAAAAATGGAGACGGTGTCTTCAAAAAGGAAATAAGTAGGTAAATTATGGCACGCCCTTCCTGGTGAAAGAAGGAAGATGAGCTATAAACTCGGAAGTGTTCCCAGACCGACTACATTAAAAACCTATTGTTAAAGAAAAAAATATTGGCTGTGGAGATCAGGAAAAGAGGATTCAGTTCTTTCAACAAACACTGATGAAGCATCCACCGGCGGCCTGGCTCGTATCTAAATGCTGAGGGTCTTGTGAGCAGGCACAAATGCCCTCTTGCGGCTTTCACTCTAGCGGGGGAGAGAGGGTAAGTCACTGCAAGTTAGGTTTGCTTCCCTCCCCTGCAGGACATACGTAAGCTTTGTAGGCAGATGAGACGGAAGTAAAAGGAAGAGAAAAGCAGAAGGTACTGGAGACAGAAGCAATGAATGAGTGAACAAAGTCCTGGAGAAACAGATGGAGTCAAGAGTACAGGCAAAGGCAGAGAAGACAAGACTCATATCTGAAAAAACAACAACAAAATGGGCAAGGAGCAGAGGGAACGGTAAGAACTCTGAAGGGACGGGAAGACAGACCTTGGGTGGGACCGTGCGTTCTGGAAGCCGTGACAGGGACTGACAGGAAGAAGGGCAGTGCCCCAGCAGCGAGCACCCGTTAGACCACGCTGTACGGGCAGCTGGCTCAGCACCTTTGATTAATTTCTCTAGCAGTTACGTGGGACCCAAAAAGAAGAAATCAGAGTGGGGACGAGCCACTAAGCGTCACGTGATCTGCCTCTGCGTTCCAAGCTTAAACACCCCTAGAGTTACTGGTAATGTCCAGAGGGCAGAAGAAAAACTATCCTTGATTATTTTATTCCAAGATAATCAGATCAGTCTTCTCCTGCGACACAGAAATTACCACAGATTTCATGGTTTCAAACAGCCCTCAGGTGTCGCTTCACAGTTCTGAAGGTCAGAAGTCCAGGCTGGGCGTGGGCAGGTCCCCTGCTCAGGGCCTCTCACAGGGTCTGTTCCTTCTCGGAGGCTCTGGGACACCCGCTTCGGAGCTAATCCAAGTGGCAGGCCTGCGGGCCCCGTGCTCTTGCTGGCCGCCGGCCCGGGCCCCCATCCTTGAGCCTAGAGGCTTTGCAGAGCCCTCTCCTGCAAAGAGGGACTCTCTCACTCCTGCATCCAGTGGGAGGACATTCTCTGCTTTCAGGGATCATATAACTAAACTGGGCCCCCTGGGATAACCCAGGATAATCGCCCCTTAAGGTCTGTAAGCGTAATTACATCCGCGAAGTCCTGTTTGTCAGGCAGCACAACCCATTCACAGATCCCAGGGCGCAGGGCTCGGGCACTGGCTGGGGGAGGGGCTCTGCGCAGCACGGCAACAACTCTTCCTATGAGAACAAACAGGGACGGCCCTGCACTAAGCACAACATTCACGATCTGTTTAAGAAGAGAAG